AGTATACATACAATTATGTAAATACATATATAGCAAGATAAATAGTCCTGTCAATGTAAATACAGTATTTCTGCTGTAATTGATTTACAGTAAGTTACTGGCAAACAGCTGCCTGTAGGTTATTGTAGATTCTACAGGAAATTTTCTGTAACAGTATATGGTTAAATCAAGAAAAATACTTTAAAATGATTACGTTTAAATGTGATCAGTGTTAAAGATGTTCGAAAATTAATTAAGAAAAAAAAAATGTATCTTGAATTAAGTATAAATGTGGACGCATTTAATGCGGGTTGTGTTGTATTTTATTTTATTCTTTAAAACATATACCTCATTAAATCAAACCTAATGAATGATGTTTTCTTTGTTACACTATTAACAAATGCTATTATTATAATTATAATTATAATATAGTTATATAATTATAATTAAAACAATAAAATAGGTTACCAAATTTCTCAAGGTTTATGCTTAAAGCAAAAAAAGTCCATTTGAAATGTAATTTTGGGCGATTAAATCCAATTTCCCCCCACAGTGTAGAGAAGTAGGAATGTGATAAGCTTCAACTGATATGCACTGTTTTCAACGCGGCTCCGGACACAGTTTTAGGATGTTCTGCGCTTCACGAAAGCACTTGAAAACCTGGAATTACATTCCACACATACCTCGAAAACAACTGAATTGGCACAGTAATCAGCCTGCGATCAGAATGACAGAGCTGCAGAAGACGATTTCACAATTAAATGAATACAAAAAGAGGCAAAACGCTGCGTGGCGTCAGACCTTTCCCTCCACACTGTGAGATTCAATCACTGAAAATGTGTTCTGACGATCATTATCACTGTATGAAACGCATTAATGAAAAGCTCAAAATGACAGAGGTCTGAATAAAACAGCTTGCTGCAACAAACACAAAAATCTTGACATACACTACAGGTCAGAAGTTTGGGATACAGAAGATTTTTAGATTATTTAATAAAGGATACAGTAAAACAGTGAAATATTATTGCAATTTAGTCTGCTTTCAAATTAAATGTACATTAAAGTTGTGTTTATTAGTGTCTTCAGTGTCGCATTATTATTCTAATATATTGATTTGCTTTTTAACATATGATCACTTATAATTAGAATTCAGTCATTAATAATTATTCTTTTAATTATTTGTATTTTTCCCTGCTTCATTGTTTTTAGCGAAACTAACTGGTATAATATATATTATATAATATATACACACACACACACACACACACACACACACACACACACACACACACACACACACACACACACACACACACACACACACACACACACACATATATATATATTTACATTATAAATGTATTTCCTACTTTCACTAATGGAAAATTTAATATGTCCTTGATGAATAAAAGTAAATGAGAAATTCCATGCAAACTTTCACCCAAAAATAGAAATCGTTTCTAAGTTTTTAGTGTAAGTACTTTAGAAATACTCAAAAATGTCTTTAAAGTACAAAACATGTACAGATTGATATTTTCTGGTTCCTTAACTCTGTGGTCAGTTGTTCTCAAAAATATAAACAGATGTTTCAATTTAATGTTAACAAACTTTCACTGTAAATTTAAGTTTGGAGTTTTTACTGCAAATGTCACATCCATAACACTGGAATTGCTCAAATACTTTAAGTATATTTAACAAATGAGATATTTACACAAAAAATTAAGCAGCCCAACAGTTTTTAACACTAATAATAATTTTTCTGATTATCTGAAGAATCATGTGATACTGGAGTAATGATGCTGGAAATTCAGCGTTGAATTAGGAATAAATACAAATTAAGAAAACAGTTATTTTAAAGTTGAATAATATTTAACAGTTTTTACTGCATTTCTTTTCAAACAAATTAGTCTAGATGAATAGAATATTCTTCTTTTAAAAACGTTAAAATCTTTATAATCCCAAACTTTTTAGTGTTAGTGTATGGTGCCATTTAAACGAATGCGTTTTTTGTGTTTAAAACCAAAACAGGGTCTTTAGTACTTTCAAAACCACCCAGTTTTCACAGGTCAGAGACGCCAGAGTAGTGAGGACTACCACGCATAACAGCAACCAATCATATGCATCTTAAAACAAAAATGCATTAGTGTAAATGGCACGTCATATCCTCGTATGCCAGATCAGTATTTGTGATCTTTATACATTTTCACCAGCAAAACATTTTCACGACATCAGAAAAAAAATTGTCACTGTTGAAAAAGCTCAGCTCTTAAGATGATTTTTTTTTTATGTAAAATGCATATTTCATACTATTCTTTATCCTGCCAGTAAGGCACTCTGCCCCATTCAACTGGGTCCCACCTATTCATGCTAGAGAGACCCTGATCATGCCCCCATTCTTTAAAAACTGCAAACCTTTCCTTATTTTTCTTCACAACTTAACCTTAACCATGCCTTAACCAGGTGTGACATGACAAAACATCAAGCCATAAAGCAAAGTGACTAGAATATCGGTATGCCATAAACCGATACATTTACTTGAAATAGTGGGTACTGTGATTTACCATGATTCACTTGTTATAGTGGGTAACTGATTAATTTACAAACACTTTACAAATATTTACAAAAAAAAAAAATAGTAAAATATTGTCATTTTAAATGCTACATGTGAATTTAGGTATCCCTTTATACTTATTCATTGGTAAATTTTGCAATGTGCAATTTTAAAGTATCATAATAATAAAAAAAAAGCGTTAGCAAATTTAATTTGAATGTAAAACTACAGGAAATTTGCATGCACAATTAAATTGCCGATTATTGGTATGCTATCAAAATGTCATGCATATCCTGATCAGAAATGAGCACTAAATAGAGCCTTTTTATTTCATTTATTTATTTCCAGATGTGTAACTAGCAGCAGGTAATCGTATCTTTTTCTATATTTAATTTCTGGGTCGTAAAATACCCAATACCGATATCGGCCGATAATTGGTTTTGTGCCAACAATATTACACATATCCCAGCAAGCATTTTTTGTTTTTAAAAGATGTCTAATGGATGTCTAATAGAGGTCTAAACATAGTTGTCTTGGCTGAAACAAGGTTAAATTTGGGATGTTAGTGAAAATCTAATAGACGTCTAGTCTAGTCCTCAAATAGACAGAAATGAATGACTACACATATGAAGATTAGGGCTATTCTTAAATGTCTATTTGATTTTCACTGACAGCCCAGGTTTAGCCTTAGCCTTGTTTTAGCCAAGCTGTTTACTGTATGTTTAGATGTGTATTAGATGTCTATTAAACACAAAATTGTTTGTTGGGATTCCAAACAGAAATATGTGTTAAAGTAAATAGTCAGTGTCAGTGTTTTTTTGTCTTAACTAGCAACAATTGTAACAAGCAGGATTTTTTTTGGCAAATTTCTATGGAAACTTCTAGATCATTCAATATCATTTAATAACAGGCATAAGTAAATTTAGCAGATATTGAAATACATTTTAAATAGCTTAACCCATAATTATACCTTATTTAAAAAAAAAAAAAAAATATATATATATATATATATATATATATATATATATATATATATATATATATATATATATATATATATATAAAATACATATTAGCGCTGTCAAATCTAACGCGTTAACGCTTGCGATTAATTTTAAATAATTAACGCGTTAAAAAAAAATGAACGCAGTTGCAGGTTTTTTTCACTTCCTGTTGTGGTGGACGTGTGTTCAACATGCAATAAATATGGATAAGACCTATGAAGCACTTTTTGAAGGCAAGTTTCAGTATAAAACAATTAGTCGCATCACCAGGCTCTCCAGAGTTTCATGCAATTTCGGGTGTTTCAATTTTAACTTTCGACTTCTGTTGTAAGTTGATACCGCATGGCGAACAGAATGAAAATCCTCCGCATTTCATGACTCGGTGTTCCTTTAAGGTAAGGTTCCTTTTAAGGCTACACGGTAGACTTTTAAAAAGAGTGTTATCTTAATCATATTAAAATCGGAGTATTGGTGTCTTACGTAAATGTACTCAGAAAGTCTCTGGTGAAGTCGCGAGCTGTCAAAGACAGGGCATTACTCTGCCTTTCAGCATGAGCCCTCCAAGTTTAGCGTGTTTCCTCATTAAACGCAACAAAAGCATATGCTTCGCGTTGTTGTGTCAGAATCCTTGTGAAATACATTAATACTTTAGGACGCTTAGTTTAAGCAAATTTGATGAACGTGATCATGCGTGTTGAATCTGAGGGGAGTCGCTCCAGTATGGAAGGCCGTTGGGGCCAAAACGTCTGCAGCGCGTTGTGTGTGTCTGTGTCTGTGTCAGGGATGGAGTGAGCGACGTATCTGAGTAGGGGCGAGAGGGGTGTGCAATGTATTTAACGACCGGTTTGCAAGAAATTATCATTCATTTGCGGGCATTTGGGAGTCTATGTGCACTTGCGGGATACTCACAGTCTTAGCATCTGGATGAATGTAAAGGAGGATTAAGCAAAATTGTTTCTACTCTATAACTAATGTTCTCAACTCACAGCAATAAAACTTTACAATGAGTGCAACAGTTTGTATTCTATAGTTTATTATTATAATTTGTCATTTTCCATATCTGCAATTCCTGTATTTTTTTGCATTTCACTTAGGATCCAACATGGAAATCAATGTTTTCTTTATTGGCATTGATTGTTTTGAAGTTTAAATGTCATTAACATGCCTGTGTTTTAATTTCTGTAATAAATATGGCTGTCAAGCCAGGATCTTGATGGTTTATTGTGGGTATGTTGTTTACATGAATAAATCTGTTACAAGTTAAACAAAAATTCTATTAAACAATTATATTTTGAATTTAAATATTTTTTGTCTTGCGTTTGCATTAATTTTACATTTAAATAGCCAAAATTACAAGTTTCAGTATTTTAAATTTTTTTTAAAAAGGTGCGATTAATTAGTACATTTTTTCAATCGATTGACAGCACTAATATATAAATATATAAATATATATAGCCCTCCTATAGTTATATATTTTATTTGTTCAAAATGCAAATATTAAGATAACACATTCTGAAAAACAAACAACAACTAAATAATCACACAACTATAACAAGCAGCTAGAAAATTCCTAAATTTTTAAAAGAAATTTGAAAGTCATCCAATAACAATTTCAGCCAATAATCCAACACAATCTAATGGCAATTCATAACTTTTAGATTTAGGCTAATTTGTATGAATTCATACAATCTTTGTGATTTTGTTTGGTGCCATGCCTCCTTTTTAAAATCATACATTTTTACTTATACAAACTTGTATGAATTAGCCACTTAACTGACAAAAACTAAAAATACGTATGTTTTCTCGTAAGATCAGACTGGATAATCGGTAGGTACTAAAATATCAAGCAAATCCTGACCAGGAATGTGTGTTAAGAAAGTAAATAGAATAATATTATGTAGATTTTATGTTTTAACGACCCACACTACTTTGAGTGTGACCCTGCCGACAGTTACAAAACACATCAAATACGTTTTCGCATTTTGAGCTAACAGGCTAATTATTAGTCATGTCGCACTTGGTTAAGACAGGGTGAAAGACTGCATGTCTCCTGGTCTCAGACCAAACTGCCCTGCAAACATTTTCTCCTTTAATTAGCTCTGCTAATTATTTTCCATGAACTACGGAGCCATCAGAGACATGGGGATGAAGCTCATGAGGTGTAAGATGGCACCCCAAATCCACAGTGGTGGCAAACAGTACAGGGCCGATGAGGCCGAAAATGACACACCGAGGCTTTGAAAACATCCGCCGTTCATCTTCACGTCAGTCTGCGACGAAACCAAACGCTTGGCCGGGTAAAGAATTCATCAAGACTTAACCATACTATTGTCTCAGGATCTAAAGGGATACATCCATGCGGCAGATTTGGCGACTGATATGCATTTACCTCCCATGAATGAACCTTGAATGGTTTGGCGTGACATTGTCTCCATCATGGCAGCCTCCTTTTTTATTTTTACTGCCAGTGTGATGTTCATTCCCCATCAGACATATAAAGAAACTCAATACTGAAAAGTTCTCAACTCAGAAGTTTGTGTGTTTCCTCAGAAATCTCATTTTTCATGCTACACATATATTTGCGATATTTGACCCCTAGTATCGCAAGGGGCTTGGTGTGAACCTCTTGAAATTATACCAAAAAATAAACAACCTCTACATGATAAACAAACAACGAGTGCTCAGGCGGAAGAGCGAGGCGTTGAAAGTTCGGCTCGTTCCCCGGTGAGAAGTGTCCGCTTTGGATCCAGAATTAAACAGCGAGAGGCCGAGCCACGCGTCTTTGGCTGCCGTTCATCTGGATCGTCCGGAAACATGAAAAACAAACTTGGCGACTGTATGAAAAGCAAGTTGGATGCGATAATCCATTTGAGGTTGATATGTCTCCATCTGTTCTCAATATTTTAGACTTTTAAGATCCGTCTCCTTCGTTTTTAGGCTGTTCAAAGCACAGCTCTTACAGGTGGACCTGCCACCCTTCGTTCTGCAGGCGAAGCCTCACAAAACTGACCACGAGGGGCACCGTGATTGGTCCAAACTGTCACAGAAATGCCACTGAAGGTCCAGGGTTCGAGGCTGGATGAGATGACGGGTGACGGCGAGGGGTGAGAGTCACTCTAATGGGGCGAAACTACTTCCGACAAGGCAGGGGCGGCTGGAGAGAGAGCACTCCGGGAGGTGGCACTGTCTACTAGGAAACACAACAAAAACCCTGTGAATCACCCATTAGACTGGACAGCAAGGTAACTGCGAATGGAAGTAACACAGTTCATGCAGTGTTGGGGAGTTTTTAAAAGCATTTATAGAAATAGGGGTATTTCATATATTGATAAAATTTAACTTATAAAGCAGGGTTAAGCGAGGTGCCAGTTAAGTTTTGGTAGATAAATATATCTGGCTGGAAATCACATTATAAAGCATAAACCATATATACAGCTCTGGTAAAAATGAACACACATCACTTTTGCTAGTTATGATCAGTTCTCTGGATATGTCATTAATAGATTGATAAAATGTTCAACTGTGTTCTAAATAGCTACACTTTATTTTAAATGAGGGAGAAATGCTATAAATACTGTAGTTCACAAGAGTTATAGTCAGAAATTTATATTTGGTGGAATAATTAGTACTTATATGAAAAAAAAACTCTAAATGACAACATTTCTATTTGAACTTTTATCTTTTTATTTGATATTTAAGATATGAAAATGAATATATTTTTAATAGATTTTTTTTTGTAAAATAAATGCTCAAAATGATTTAAAAAAATGTAAAAAGTGGTTTATAAAATTAAACACAAATAACCATTTTACCTGATAAAAGTCTTGTCGCCTATTCATTTTTGAGGAACAACAAATAATAATTTGACTTCTAGTTGATCATTTGTTATCATAAGTGGCTAATATAAAAGGCAAAGGCCTCTAGATTATGCTTATTTTACCAAAATAAAATATGTTCATGCCTTGATTTTTAATTATTTAATTAGGACAGTAAGGTCTGACTTTGCTGCGACAAAAGTCTTGTCATTTAACAGAAATAATGTACAGTATAGAATGTAAAGTCACGGTGCAGTGGAAAAAGAATTAAGATTGTGTATGACTCCATCCAAACATTTCTGCAATGACTTCTGCAATGACTTATTAATAAAGTCATCTGTAATGGCAAAAAAAGCGTTCCAGCAGGACTCCCAGAGTTCATCAAGATTCTTTGGATTCATCTTCAATGCCTCCTCCCACTTATCCCAGACATGCTCAATTATGTTCATATCTGGTGACTGGGCTGGCCAATCCTGGAGCACCTTGACCTTCTTTGCATTCAGGAACTTTGATGTGGAGGCTAAAGTATAAGAATGAGGGCTATCCTGTGGAAGAATTTGCCCTCTCTTGTGGTTTGTAATGTAATGGGCAGCACAAATGTCTTGATACCTAAGGCTGTTGATGTTGCCATCCCCTCTGCAAATCTGTCGCATGCCCTCATACTGAATGTAACCCCAAACCATGATTTTCCCTTTATCAAACTTGACTGATTTCTATCAGAATCTCGGCTCCATGCAGCTTCAAATAGGTCTTCTGCAGTATTTTTGATGTTTGGGATGCAGTTCAACAGATAATTCATCGAAAAAATCTACCTTCTGCCACTTTTCCACATGATCAACTAGAAGTCATTATTTTTATGCTCTTACAACTGAGATCGACGACAAGACTTTTTTCAGGTAATGTACAGTTATAGAAAACTAATAAGAACTCTGAAGTTATTTTCAAGCCTCTGTGATTATAATTGAACTACTTTAGAAAACCTATTCCGGTGTAGCTTCCCCAACAATGTCAAGCAAACACATGCACACAATGACAAAAATTCACAGAAGTACACATTGTAACCAATCACAGTTGAAAAAGGCTCAAACACGCGACGCATGCAATGCAACCCGGACAGAAGCAGAGATATAAAAGAACTGTAAGCAGAAAGACGTGCAGGATGCCACGAACCGTGTCTTTAGAGTGTCCCATTATGAAGAAATAGGGTGAGGCTAGAGTGTCACTTTTCATGCACATGGAAAGGTTGGTAGGAACCATCCCTACAGGACAGGAAGTAAAAGACTGTACTATTAGATCATACAAGAGTTAGAAAAACAGAACAGCTGATAGAAGAGAGGAGTTAATAGAAGTTTCATCACTGAAGACCCCGAAATACTAACAGCAAATTTAGTTATAGTTCTTCGATTAGGAGTGAAAGAGTCCCATCCTTTATTTTTACGCAGGTTTTGTCGAGCAGGTGGTGGAAAATTCACTTCTAATTAAAAAATCTCAAAGGTGTATGAAGTCAGATCTAAAGCAAGGCTGCTTCTGTGCTCAATTTTGACTCCCTGACATGAGCAGTGCACATGCCCTTTTAATTCTTGGATAGAAAGTGCCCTTCCAAAATGATCTGATGTGCCCCCGCGACAAACCAAAAATACTGGCATCAGTATCGGTGAGTATTTGAAACCCTAAACCAATCCGAATCTTTTAAATCTGACTTATGCAAGCTTTGCTTAACACTGGAAACCCAAAATCAGTCCTGCTTCACTGCTTAGAATGCAAACACAGGAAGTTGTGCTTTGTTCCACAAAAACCACTGTTAGAACTGCATGGAAAATGAGAGTAACACACTATTTTATTATAAGTTTTTTTTCTCTAAATTTTAAGTTTTAAAAAAGGTTATATTTTTTATATTTTATTCTTATCAAATGTGTAATATTTCATAATTTTTGCATTCATTTTTATATGGTTATACTGTAAAACAATTATTTTTCAGTTTCAGTGTTTGATTTGAACTTTTTTCAATAAAGTACAGTAATGTGTGTATTTTACAAGAACATACTCACTTATCAGTTCAGTACTCGGGTTTGATATCAATACCTTGAGCTCAGGTATTGGAATAGGTAATGGGTTAGGAGGTATAGAACATCCCAAGTTGTAAACAATTATCATGCTGCTTGTGTGTATACATGGCAAACACAATAACGCTGTGATTATGAGAGCGGTATTTCGTAAACATGTGGCAGTGATCAATTGGGGGGTCTCGCCACATCTCTTAGTCACAGGACAACTGTGCCAGTGCACTCACCACACACCAGTTATCGATGGAGTGGAGAGACGGAGATAAAGCCAATTGAGTGAATGGGGATAATTGGGAGGCCATAATGGGTAAGGCTCAATTGAGGGAATTCGGCCAGGACACCAAGGTTACACCCCTACTTTTTATGGGAAGTGCCATTGTATTTTTAATGGCCACAGAAAGTCAGGACCTCGGTTTAATGTCTCATCCGAAAGACGATGCTCATTGACATTATAGAGTCCTCTTCAATATACTGAGGCATTAGGACTTACACAGACCACAGGTTAAACACCCCCTGCTGGCCTCACTAACAGCACTTCCTACAGCAACCCAGTTTTCCCAATGTGGTCTCCCATCCAGGTAATGACCAGGCTCAGACCTGCTTAGTGTCAGTTAGTAACCAGTCTTGGGCTGCACTGGAGACCACTACGGAGACTGGCTTTGACACTCTGAGTGCTATCTTCTTAAAGAAGGCGGAGTTCCTGAACACAGCCACCGATTGCGTAATTCCTACAGACCTTAGAGTAGCTGAAAGGTGTTTAGAAGCCAAAACAAACTCCCCCAAAAATTCTCTATGTTGAGTTGTTTCAATCTGCCAAAACAAACTCAATAAAAGCTTAGTTTGGCTGGATTGTATTCGAAATTACGTGATTTTAGTTCTCTCCTTTAGTTTGAAGTATATCAGGGCTTTTAATTCTAAACTTCATCCCTTATACTAACCCTTTCTCCACACCTAACCCCAAACCTACCAGTATCACTAGTGTAAAATAATCTGGCAGGAGTCAGAATTGGGTACAGAACTGCCCTATAAGGGTATTTCTTCAACTACGGACACTTTTATGTCCTTTGATCATATATCCAAAAATATATATCATTTTATACAAATTCCTTATTCTATTATATTTTTTTCATATTATTTATCCTCCTTTTAGGTGTCAAAAATATTTTAAAATATTATTTATCTGGTATCTATTCATGGATCTTAATTAAGCACTAGTGAAATAATTTAAATATTTATAATGTAAGACTATAGGCCTTTTTCACACTTCCTGGTTCCGGTAAACAAAACAGCGTATTACTACATCCGGTTTCAATGCGACGGAGTACGAAAGAATGGCAGGCTCATCTCATTGCTGTAATTGCAGCGTTCCCGGCTGCTCCAACTCAAAAAAAAACACACCCTTACTTTAATTTCCACAATTTCCGGAAAGACGAAGGACAGAGAAAATCATGGGTGAAGTTATTAAAGGGTTTGAATGTCGTTTCAAGTTATATGCGGTTAAATTAGTTTGACAACAAATTTATTTGTTTAGTCAGTTATATAATAAAGATGGTATACTTTTCTTACAATGGAGTCCTTTCTCATGGTGAAATCTCAATAACCCAGCAAGTTTTCAACTGTCATTGGTTCAATTCCTTCAGAGACATGTTATTCATTTATGTTATTTAGAGGTATTAATAAGAGCATCCTTCTGATGCATCGTCTTTTGATATTACTAAATCTTGTATTGGCAAATTTTGTTTTACAGTAAATACCAAGAGTAATGATAAAGCTATTCATACTCTTTTCCAAAAAGAAATCATTACTGCATCTTATATCCAATTTTATTGGATGTCTTTATTAAAGGGTGAATTGAAGAAAAGTGTGGCTGTTACCACAGAAATATGTTAGAAATAGAATTAAAGAAATATCCTATAAACTTATCCACAGGTTTTTTCCAGCAAAACATTATTTGCAAAAATTTAAATGTGGGATTAATGTAAATTGTATTTTTGTTATGAATATGAGGAGACAGTTTTACACTTATTTTGGCTTAGTACATGATCAGCTTATGGGGTGAGGTGCAAAAATGTATTATTAACAAATATTTTGTGTTCAAAACCTTTAATCATTATGGAAAAATGTACATTTGGGCTTTACTTGATTATCCTAATCTAAAAGAAAATAGTTTTATTTATTTAATTTGCTCATGCTGTTAACAAAATTGTACATTCATAAATGTAAATTTACTAATAAGAAACCAAATTTTATTGTATTGATGACTGAAATATGCTTGCATAATACCATTAAAAATGTTTGAACTCTACAATGTTTTTTATTATTACATATGTTATATTACATTTGGTATATTTGTATTTTATTTATAATTACCCCCTGGCATGTATATTTTTGTATTGTAAAATGTTATTTGCTGTTCTTTAAATAAATATATATATATTTTTTTCCATGAGTAGGAGTTAACGCATGTTTCCAGACTTGAGAAAACCTTATGAGCATTAAACAACCTGTAATGTACGGGGCTCCCGCATTGCCTGATAGCAACTTGCCTGTACAGCTACCTCGTCAATCACTATATCTGACTCTGAATAAAAAGGTACTGACATAAAACTAATCCTGCTGGATGTTAAATAGCCTAGTTAATCTTGCTTACTAATGGCTTGAATGAGCAGATCTTATGCTGTTGGCTGTGCACCTTACTGGAACCTAACGTTGCAAACGCTTTGTGTAAGACACGTTTTCTGCACAAATTCTGTATCATCTTTTATAAACTTTTATTTAGGCTACGTCAGTTTTACACATTTACCGAACGATGTCTTCATGTACAAATTATGGCAAAGTTGACAGTGAGAAAGTCATCTACTGTCCTGAGGCTGTCATGTTTCTGCGACTCCCAGCGAAACCGGAAATAGCGATACATTGCTGCGAAGGGCGCTTCTGTTGTTCAATTCCGCTGTGAAAAAGGTCTATTATCAAGATTATTTTTTATACAAAATATAGCTGTCGCACAGTATCAGTGTTATTTCCACAACAACACTGTAATGTCACTTTAAAAACTTTGTGTAAGATTATTTAGTTGGTTTCTATGAAAATGAATAGTGAATGTTCAAGAGGAAGGAAATTTTTATTTCTATCAACAACACAAAGTAAATATTGCTTGATAAGGAAATACATGAATTCTACGTCATTTCCAAACCTGTTGTACCTTCAAAGATGTTTTTCAAAAACCAAAATAAATTAAGTTAAATAGGAGTTTCTTTTATACATGAAAGGCTAGTATCAATTCAAAGCTAATCGGTGAAGCTATTTTTCCTTTTTTCAAAATAAACTGTTGAAATGTCATTTCCACCACTGTCATTTCCATCACCACACACATTTTTAAAAAATATATTTAAAAGGTTCTCATCACACATTAAAAGTGTATTCGCAATGTATAAGTTCATGCTCTTTTCAATATACAAATTCAGTTGATTTATTTTCTAATAAGCTCTTAAGCAAATTAATATTTAATTTTAGAGTGTGACAGGTGTACAATTCAGCATACAACTTATTTATTTAATTGGCAAATGTATAATTATTATATATATTGTGGAAAGATTGGTTAAACTAGATACAAAAATGATCTTAGACAATGTTTGACTACCATAATTCATTTCATTTTGAAATAAGCTGTATATTGAGATGTGGTGGAATTGACATTTGTTCAGTTCACAATGGAAAAAATGTTTTTCTTCTTGTCTAAGTTTGTCCTCTTACAAATCTTAAAACTAGACAAATTGTTTAAACTTATGAGGCTGTGTTACGGTAATTTTGAACAAGTTTTTTTACTCAACTTCACAAGGGTAAAAATGCCCGTAGTTGAAGAATGGCCCATAGATAGAATAGGGTATCCAAACCATCAGGGAGGGCCATTCTCTAAAAGATGATATAATAACCATTGATTTATTGGCTTTTGGCCACCACCAATAATGAAAACATGATGCTGTGACTTTTCTTTAAAATAACATGATTTTGCACTATTTTGCATATATATTTTCTATATAATCTTACATCACTGTCAGACATGCTAAATGCTAAAAAGAGATCTCGGTGGACTGAACTGAAGAAATGAACCAAAAAAAAAGAAATGTCCACCTCAAAGAAGGCGGAGCTTCAGAGGCACACCCACACATTGTCATCAACCAGTAGTTGCTGAAAGGCATTTATCAGATTTTGTTTTGGGCACACTTGTATGAAACTTTGAACTTTGTATGACGTCATACAAGTTTATTCTTTGATTTCTGCTGCAGTATATCGGAGCCTTGGATGAAAGTCCACTGAAAGGTTTAATTGAGACAGAGAGTCATTAAAGGCTTTCAAGCTTTTAACAGCTAAAGCAACCTGTCAAGAACACAGTGCACCGCTTGAGTAATTGTCCTATAAACACATTTATGAGCATTCATTCTCTTATTTCAACCAAAATCAGCAGGTTTTTAGTTGTAAAACATGATCAATTCTATATTCTAAAAAGCTTCTAATGTCTATAAAACCTGATATTTCTATTGAACGGCTCAACTTTTGGCTGCGTGTATCGTGGTACTCACCATATTCTGGCACCTGTCCTGTGCCCCTTTTCAACAGCAGACGTACCCGACGACCGCCAGCCTTGATGAGCTCAATGGCACGAGCGTGACTCATGTCTCTCGTACTCTCACCGTTAATTTCAATAATCTGATCTCCAACCTGCGGGCAGAAGACATTTATTCAGAATCAGGATCTTGCATAGCCTTAAAGGTGTTAATACAGCGTTTCTGCAGGTTTCACTAAGTCCAATTTAAGACTTTTTAAGACATTAAGACCACGAAGAATGGAATTTCAGACTTATAATGGGCTGAATGCTAAGGGTTTGTTTAAATGGCCCAGCTGAAAAAAATACTTGACCCATCAAAAAACATTCTAATTAGTTATAAAAAAGCAAGCAGAACCTAGTTGTGTATAATTGTTTTTCAACACAACTAACATAGTTTTGCTAGAAGTTTTATTGAGATGTATCAGTGATTAGATGCATGTTGGATTGATTGGGTAGCTTTATATAAACAAAAGAAAATTAAGGCCAGTTTAAAATGATTTAAAACCTACAAGACAATATTTCAGTGAATTTAAGACTTTTCAAGGCCTAAAATTGAGTTTTTTTTTTGGAAATTTAAGACATTTTAAGACCCCACAGATACCCTGTAATAACATATTAACTGACCAATTAGAACAAAGAACACACAACACTTCAAATGTTTGGAGATTTTTTTTCACATTTATTTGATGTAAAAATGGTATTGGCTATTTGTCATTGTAATTTTTCAAACATCAACAATCTGCAGTAAAGTGATCTGTCAGAGCCAGCGGTGTTACTAGACAAAGCTCTACTGCTGGGGCACAGATCTCTACCTTCCAACTACCCCTAACAAATAACAAACTTGTATGTGTAATGGACACAATACATAACCAGCCTCTGAAGCAGTTTGTTGAAATGTTACTATGTGCTATTATCATAGTTTAACTTTGTTCAGTTCTCTAGAGTTTACAGTGTTTCTTTCACAATTAGGCCCAATCCCAGTTCTATTTTTGTACCCCTTCCCCTTGGTCCTTCAAACAAAGTGTGAAGGGGAAGGGCTTCAAAATTTACCCGTAAGAATTGGGACACCACTACAGCACCTGCACACGTCATCATATGTCATTGGGATCTCTTGCTTTATATGAGATCAGTCGTTGGACTGCTGTACTTATTCCAGTTGCGTTATTTTTTTGGTATTTATCTTCAGGAAATTACTGAAGGTAGCGATATTATGTTATTATAACGATCTAATGTGGCAATAAGATCGTAACTATACTGTACATTTAACACAGTGGCCATATTAATCAATGTAAACACACGAAAACAACATTAACATCATAGCAGACGCTGTAAAAAGTCCAGCCACTAGACTTTTCTGACAGGGCATTCGATGGTATGTTGTGGGACTGCTGTACAGAAGTTATGATTATAGATTGCGAATTTAGCAGTTTTTATTTTAACGTTTTTTTAAAGCATGACGGTAAAACACGAACATGGTTAAGAACATATTAAAACATGTGCTTGTTTGTCGTAAAAATTCATAACAGTGAAATTTTCTTAGCCCTTGGTTTTGAGTGTGGTCCTGAAAATCTCTCTATCTACCCCTTCCCCTTAGCCCTTCGCCTTCAAGATAAAGAGAATTGGGACACCCCTACCCCTTTACATGAACGTGCAAAACAAGGTAGGTAAGGTAGAAGGGCTAAGAGGTAGAATTGGGATTGGGCCTTAATGCTGCAAACTTCAATTTAAGTTCAAGCCCAAGTCACAGCAGAAAATCAATGCTTATGCATCTCTCAGCTCACAAATGCTAATTTTTAAAAAAATATACGTTCTTGCGCTAGAACACAGGCTGAATGCATGTAACAACGTCAGACTACACACGTTTAACAGTCATTTAAGTCTGGGTCTAAAGTGAAAGTACACATTACATTTTTCCAGAAATTACACATGTTTATTTAAAATAATGAGTATATTAATAAGATCAAGTTTTTATCTTTTTCACATACTGTAAATGGTAGCTAATAAACAGGGCCAGATGGAATCTGTGGACGTTTTTTGCTATTCTCCAGAGAATTTTGGAAAAAATCTGCAGAAAATAGGACTGTACAAACTGCATTGTACATAAATCTGATGAACATTTTCATATTAGTCAATAATATTACTTTAATTAATAAAAAAAAAAAACTGAATTAATACAGATTTACACACATTTACACAAGTAAATAAACAGAATTAATGATGGGATTAAAATCTAAGGAAATTTGCGAAATTCAGCTGAAAATCTGCGGAATTTTGCGAAAAATCTACGGAATTTTGCGCGCAGATTCCTTGTGGGCCTACTTATAAAGCTATGTATTTCATGCCGATGTATGGAATTTCTAAGTGTTATGTTTTGCTTTAGTTTTTTTTTTTTACAATGATAACCGAATGAATCTAAAAAACAGTAACTACAAAACCGTTATATGAACCGAACTAAGAATTCTGTGAACCGTCCCACCACTGACAATTGTTTATTGTTCGAGATCTGACTCTGATGGCCAAGAATAAAGTGTTACGTCCCTGACTCATTATAAATAGGTCTCTCATTTGACCACACAATATCTCCCTGATCTGTCTAAAGGTTGGCGCTACAGTAAACAAGTATAAAATCACAAATAACTCCTAAACTAGTAGTTGAGAATTCAAGTGTGTTATATCTCATTTATTGTAATCTTTTGCTTAAGATGAACAAAACATATGCCTGTTTTTAATTTATATATTTAAAATGTATTTGAAAAATTAGATTGAGATTTCATAGATATATAATTATTTATTCTATAGCAATATTTTACTAAAATGGCTAAAGCTCTTGAACCGAATTTGATATTTCTACCAAAATAGGCACACGTGAATGAGCTCAATACAAGGTAAGAGTAGAAAAATAGCCGAGTTTGGCCACTTGGTGGCACTAGAATAGAAATAAAAAACATGGAAATTGCTATGCTACCATCTGTTTTTAAAGGTCCCATGAAACTAAAATAAGTTTTTTAGTTTTTTAGTATTGTTCATTTTTAAGATATCTATAAGCTAGTGTGCTTCATAACAGTGACAAAATTTACATATAGAAGATATAAAATTGATAGAAACATGTAAAGCTTGTAGTTTGTCACTTCTGCTCAAATAGACTTACAGTTAAAATTCATGTCACCTTACACTACAGTTTCTCCCAGGGGAGTAGATTTAGCATGGACCAATATCCACCAACAATTGAAATGTCCCCACCAATAATTTAATTGACTTTAAAAATTGTGCTGTCTATATTAACGCAGATATGTCGAAAGTGTTAAATATCGTGTCTCCTTGAGTCACACCACCGTGAAACACATTTGAACACTTATTGGCTGTGCCTTTCCCTGCTTACATGTGAGAGGCTGTAGCTGTGTTCAGATGTAGCAGCGCCAAAACAGCGCAGGGCAATTTCCCGTGCAAGAATAAGGTGCGTACACACATAAGTGAAGACTCACTTTCCCTTACTGACTTAAACTCAAGTTCACTATTAAATGAGTCCATCATGATAAGGCTGTTAATGCTTGTGTTTTTTCCCCCCATTTTAATGCACAGTCTTACGATATAGCAGACTGATGACTGGATAATATGCCCTGAAAACTAACTGCAGAATAAACAGCTGAATGTAAAAGTATATGATCTCTCCCAGTTTTCCTAATCTCTCAGAGTAGTTTGTGCAATTTCGGTTGAAACAATTTGTCAGAAAAGCCTGTGCTCCATCTTTTATTACTACTGATATACGAGACCGGTTTCATTTTCACTATGGCTAAAATAAACAGAAGTCTTTATTAAACTCTCTCTTTATATCCGTTAATAAAAATTATTTTAACATTACACTATCAGGCCTGTAGCTACAGTAGCTTATTGAAATGTGTGGTTATTTTTTGTTCTAAAAAACTCCCCCTTTTTGCAGTTATTTGTCTGATTTTCTATTTAATTATGAGGTATAAATATTACATTTTAGAGATGTAACAAATTGGGACACCCCTACCCCCTTTACATGAACGTGCAAAACAAGGGGTAGGGGTAAAGAGAAGGGCTAAGAGGTAGAATTGGGATTGGGCCTTAATGCTGCAAACTTCAATTTAAGTTCAGTTTAAGATTCAAGCCCAAGTCACAGCAGAAAATCAATGCTTATGCATCTCTCAGCTCACAAATGCTAATTTGTGAACAAATTTTTACTGGATTATCTTGTCGGATCATTATTATAGCCACACTTTTTTATGTTCCAAAAAAAAAATGTTGTCAAATAGTTTACCAAACTATTTTACTATGTTATACTATTTTTTCTTCTGGAGAAAGTCTTATTTGTTTTATTTCAGCTAGATTAAAAGCAGTTATTAATTTTTCTAAAAACATTTTTGGGACAAAATAATTAGCCCCTTTAAGCAAATTTTTTTTCAATGATCAACAGAACAAACCATCGTTATACAATAACTTGCCTAAATACCCTAACTTGCCTAGTTCATCTTATTAACCTAGTCTAGCCTTTAAATGTCACTTTAAGCTGTGTAGAAGTGTCTTGAAAAATATCTAGTCAAATATTATTTACTGTCATCATTACAAAAGTAAAATAGATTATTATAAATAAGTTTTTAAAACTATTATGCTTAGAAATGTGCTGAAACAATCTTCCCTCCATTAAACAGAAATTGGTGAAAAAAAAAAAAACAGGGGTGCTAATAATTCAGGGGGGCTAATAATTCTGACTTTAACTGTGTGTGTGTATATATGTATATATATATATATATATATATATATATATATATATATATATATATATATATATATATATATATACACGAATAACCAACTTGCCAGTATATTCAACTGTCCTCAGTCGGAATTTATGACTTTTATATGTTAGATATCTTTATTCTGAACAGCTTTGCCTCCATTATTTCTGTTGTCCATTAAATTATTCAGTAAAGTATAGTCCTAGGTATTTTGTTAAACATCAACAAAACCAGTCCAGTGTAATATTGTATAAATCTCTAAACTGCCTAGATCAATAATTATTTTAAAAAGCTGAACGTTTGTATTTAAACAGCTATAACAGGGTCATTAACAGGATCGCTTTTTTTATGATCCTAATTTTATACTGTCATTTTGTTATACAGAATACATGATCATTGATTTAAAGCACATATTTATTTTAAGAAAATCTTGCAGACCCCAATCACATTGTCATCAGAAACTAGACTAAAATACATTCCAACTAAATCTTAATATTATTTTAGTGTGATACTCAATGGGAACAGTTTCATCTCGGATTGATGTGTCTGAAAGGGCTTTTCTCACCCTCATTCTGCCGTTGCGGACTGCAGGTCCATCCTCAGCCAGTCTCAACACAAACAGGTCCATCTTATATTCCCTTCCTCCGCGGATACTGAAGCCAAATCCCTTCACACTTTTCTCCAGTTCCACAGTGAAATAGTCATAGTCCTGGAAAAAGAAATGTAAAAAGTGTAAATAAATGTCTGGCACTGCTGCTTCTCAATAAAACCCCCGGAGTTGACTTTTATTGAGCCTTTATACAATATACATTTAATATGATTTTTTTCATATTTAAATGACCAAAAATAAGTTCTAAATATTTTTATTAAAAAAGGCATATTCATAGGGACCAAAAACCTAATTTAAGCTATGTTCACCGACATATTTGTGTCAGATGTGGTCACACAACCACAGCGCATTTAAATGAGACTAAATGAAATCAATATTTTGCACAAGAACAAAGAAATACTGATTATGATGTTTCTGAAGATACCTTAAACTGTGTTTTGTTCCTTTTGCTCCTCTCAACTTCCTTTTCTGTACATTTATTTATGGCTTCACTACTGTTTGTCGTGCCTATGAACTAAAATTAAATTATAATCCAGCACTGAACTATACATGTTTGTATATTGGATGGATTTTTCTAGTATCAGCAAACGCCATAATTTTAGGTCGTACAAATAAGAAGACATTTAAAATTTAAAGGGCTATTTTATTTGTTTACCCGTGATTCTAAAAAAACAGTGTGCTTAAATTCAGTAATATACAAAGTCAAGCCTTGCTGTTTATATTGTTTCCACAAAGGGTTAACAATAGACAATCATTATCATATTATCACAAAAACTAGACCTCAATTACATCAGGACACATTACTGTAATGAAAAGTAGTTAAGGAGCTACTGAAGCAACATAATTCAGCTATTTTTGCACCACAGCAGATTGACAGCATAGTACAGTTCGTCCACAATAATGGCGACTGCACCACTGTGTGACGTCACATGGAACCAATGGAGGATTTTTTTGAAATTGTTGCAAATTTATTCAAAATAAAAAAGCTGAAAAATCACATGTACATAAGTATTCACAGCCTTTACTCAATACTTTGTTGATGCACCTTTGGCAGCCATTACAGCCTCAAGTCTTTTTGAATATGATGCCACAAGCTTGGCACACCTGTCCTTGGGAATTTGTACCCATTCCTCTTTGCAGTTTCTCTTAAGCTCTATCAGGTTGGATGGGAAGATCTCTCCAGAGAAGTTTAATAAGATTTAGGTCTGGGCTCTGACTGGGCCACTCAAGGATCACAGGATTCACAGGAGTTGTTGTGAAGCCACTCCATTAATATTTTGGCAGTGTGCTTTGGGTCATTATCCTCCTGGAAGAGGAACGGTCGCCCCAGTCTGAGGTCAGGAACACTCTGAAGGAGGTTTTCATTTAGGACTCTGTACATTGCTGCATTCATATTTCCCTCTATCCTGACTAGTCTTCCAGCTCTGCTGCTGAAACTCATCCCCACAGCATAATGCTGCCACTACCATGCTTCACTGTAGGGATAGTGTTAGTCTGGTGATGAGCGGTGCCTGGTTTTCTACAAACGTCTGGCATTCACTCCAAAGAGTTCAATTTTAGTCCCATCAGACTCAAGAATTTAGTTTCAGATGCCTTTTGGCAAATTCCAAGTGTGCTGCTATGCGCCCTTTACTAAGGAGGGGCTTCTGTCTGGCCACTGTACCATACAAGTATGGTTTGTACACAGATGGTTGTCCTTCTGTAACGTTCTCCTCTCTCCAAAGATGAACGTTGAAGCTCAAACAGAGTGACCATCGGGTTATTGTTCACCTCCTTGACTAAGGCCCTTCTCCCCGATCACTCAGCTTAGATGGCCGGCCAGCTCTAGGAAGAGTCTTGGTGATTCCAAACATCTTCCACTGACAGATGATGGGGGCCACTGTGCTCATTGGAACTGTCTTAGCAGCAGAAATTGTTCTGTAACCTTCCCCAGCCTTGTGCCTCAAGACAATTCTGTCTCTGAGGCCTACAGACAATTCCTTTGTCTTCATGCTTGGTTTGTCACACTCAACACTGGTGTACCACAGGGCTGTGTGCTGAGCCCCTTCCTCTACTCCCTTTTTACCGTTGACTGTAGGCCTGTTAATAGATCTAACACCATCATCAAATTTGCAGATGACACCACAGTGATTGGTCTAATCAGCAACAATGATGAGACTGCCTACAGGGAGGAGATACAGCATCTGGCCACTTGGTGCACCGACAATAATCTGCTCCTTAACACCAAAAAGACCAAGGAGCTCATTGTGGACTTCAGAAAGGGACGAACAGGCTCACATGATCCCATCCACATCAGTGGGATGACCGTTGAGCCTGTCTCATCCTTTAAGTTCCTGGGGACCCACATCTCAAAGGACCTTTCCTGGACCACCAACACCTCCAGCCTGATCAAGAAGGCTCATATTCTTCTTAAGGCAACTGAAGAAGAACCAGTTTTCATCAGCCGTCCTGGTGAACTTCTACCGCTGCACAATAGAGAGCATCCTGACAAACTGTGTCACAGTCTGGTATGGAAGCTGCTCTGTTGCTGAGCGTAAGGCACTGCAGCGGGTGGTGAAAACTGCCCAACGCATCACAGGGACAACACTGCCAGCCATAGAGGACATCCAGAAGAAACACTGTTTGCGTTGAGCACTCAGTATTCTGAAGGACACCTTTCACCCTGCTCACAGACAGTTTTCTCTCCTGCCCTCCGGCAGGCGCTTCAGGCTCCCCCGGACAAAAACCAGCAGACTGAGGAACAGCTTTTTCCCCAGAGCTGTCTCCTTCCTGAACTCTGCCCCACACTGACTCTTTTGCCCCCCACTGACTCTTTTGCCCCCCCCCAATACACCCCCCACTCTCCTCTAACTTAAACTCCTCGCAATAACTGCACTGTTTAACATTTGCACATTCACTGCACCACATTGAGCTGTTTACTTATTGAACTGTACATACCCACTGCATATGGGCATTTGTAATTATGTACACACCCACTATACATATACACTGTAATCATGCTTATTTATCTGCATACTACTGACTATTAATAGCAACCTGTACATATATTCATATATTGTAACATATAAACTTGTAATCTTGCTTATTTATCTGCATACTACTGATTATTAATAGCAACCTGTACATATATTCATATATTGTAACATATAAACTTGTAATCTTGCTTATTTATCTGCATACTACTGATTATTAATAGCAACCTGTACATATATTCATATATTGTTACATATACACTTGTAATCATGTTCATCTATCCCTGTACATATATTCATATATTGTAACATATACACTTGTAATCATGTTTATTTATCTGCACACTACTGATTATTAATAGCAACCTGCACATATATTCATATATTGTAAATCTGTTCATAACTTATCCAACCTGTATATAATGTTCATAGTACATCCATCTGTAAATATCACCATAGTTTTCTATAACTGCACTTTATAACTTATTCCTGTATCCTGCACTTGCTGCTATTGCACTGCTGGTTATACCTAAACTGCATTTCGTTGCATTGTACTTGTACATGTGTAATGACAATAAAGTTGAATCTATCTAATCTAATCTTGTGCTTTGACATGCACTGTCAACCCTGGGCCCTTATATAGACAGGTGTATGCAGTTTCAAATCATATCCAATCAACTGAATTTACCACAGGTGAACTCCAATTAAGGTGCTGTAACATCTCAAGAATGAACAATGGAAACAGGATGTACCTGAGCTCAATTTAAAGCAAAAGCTGTGAATACTTATGTACATGTGATTTTTCAGTTTTTTTTTTATTTTTAATACATTTGCAACAATTTCAAAAAATGATTACACATTATGGAGTATTGTGTGTAGAATTTAGGAAATAAGTGAATTTAATCCATTTTGGAATAAGGCAGTAACAAAAAAAAAACATGGAAAAAGTGAAGCACTATGAATACTTCATAGATCCACTGTATATGTAAGGGTATTTTTATTGCGTTGCAAAGTTTTTTCAGTGTTTATGAAACTAATGGAGACAACAGAAGTCAATAATATTTGAAAATTTTGCCTGACATGTTTACTGTTCCAACACTAACCTAAACTTTACTGTTTCCTAAAATAAAATATATTGTGTTCAATGGGGGAAAATAGTTTTTTTTTTACCCAGACACTTAAAAAGAGCATAAATTAGAGCAGTAATCACAATACCATGAAACTGCAATATTTTAATACAAAGTTATTATATTGTCAGAAACTGTCTAAAAACACATTTATATAGGCTTTCATACAACACAGATGTGTTTATAGCAGCTGTAAATATGTAAAGTTGTTGTGTGTAACCTGTGGCCTGTAGTCAGCGATGGAGTGTTGTCTGTAGTCGATGAGCGCAGGCGGGTGTCTGTACTCCATGGTCGGGGGCTGTCTGTAATCTGCCACAGGGGGATGTCTGTAGTCCACTGGCGGCTGTCTGTAGTCCGTGTAAGCAGCTTGGCAAATATCAGGTTTAACATCCTGCCTGGCCTTTACCTCCGACCTGCAGACACCAACAACAAAGTCAAGTTAAGCGATTATTCATCAAACTGCAGTGCCCTACACTAATACCCTTGCTAAATATGAAAAAGAAAGCTGTGTAAAGGCTGCGTCTTTCTCATTAAACCTTTTGATAATTCCTCATAATTTCAAAGGTCCTATGAAATTAAAATAAAGTTTTGTAGATGTTAGTATCATTACTGTTAGCTTTTAAGATATGTATAAGCTAGTGTGCTCCAAAACAGTGTCAAAATTCGCATTTAGGAGATATAAAGCTGATATAAACATGTAAAGCATGAAGCTGTAGTGTCACTTCCTGCAAAATGGATAAATGGTTTTATTCACCTCATACTTCAGATTCTCATCAAATCATAACCAATCAAATGCTCTCTAGTGTGTGACATGCCCCACCCCCTATAAGACGCTTCTCATTTGCTTTTTATTTGATCAACTGGCAGAGCTGTGATTAAAACAAAATGCTATTGGCTGTTTAAAAAAAGGGGGAGGAGCTACTCAGACCCACCCTTTCTTCGTGTTTTGGTTTTAAACTTCAAATAAAAAAGCATATTTCAAAGCACTTCATGAGACCTTTAAGAAAAAATCTGTCTTCTCATTCTAATTGAGAATAAAACAAAATCCAAACCCAGCACAGTTTTATCACAAAAACAAATATCTTATCTTGTTAAATATATGTGCGCCATAATTATTGGCACCCCTAGGAATTCATATGAGCACATTGTGTGGACATATTACATTTTCAGTACAACCTGGATGACTAGCCACAGGACATTTATCAAGCACGACCTACTGTTTCATGAAGCTAAACATACTGTATGAATTAACCAATAGTTGTAATTTTAAACCATAAACACTTGCAATATCTATGGGATAAGCTAAACTTTACTGGTTTACGCCAGAATGAAACTACAGTTCCTAGTTATACTGACCTAGAAAATAGCACGATGTAACTACATACTTTAGATGGGAAAATTATTCATTTTTGTTTTATTTTTTCAAAACGAGATGCTTTCGGTCTAATCTAATACAATGATTTATGCTAAGCTAAGCTAAACATAGCCATATTCTGTTTATCGGAGAGAAGATTTTTTTTCAACACATTTCTAATCAAAATAGTTTTAATTACTCATTTCTAATAACTGATTTATTTAATCTTTGCCATGATGACAGTAAATAATATTTGACTAGATATTTTTCAAGACATTGAACTACAGCTTAATGTGACATTTAAAGGCTTAACTAGGTTAATTAGGTTAACTAGGGAGGTTAGGATAATAAGGCAAGTTATTGTATAACGATGATTTGTTCTCTAGACTATCTAAAAATATATTGCGGAAAGGGGCTAATAATTTTGACCTTAAAATGGTGTTAAAAAAATTAAAACTGCTTTTGTTCTAGCTGAAATAAAACAAATAAGACTTTCTCCAGAAGAAAAAAATATTATCAGACATACTGTGAAAAGTGTCTTTCTTTTCTATTTCATTCTTTTATAATCTGTTTTAACACAATTGAATCTGTTTTTATCTGATTTTAATCATTTTTAAATCTATTAATCATTTTTATTTTCTTGTTTCTTTTCTTCTTGTTTATGTAAAGCACTTTGAATTACAATTGTGTATGATATGTGCTATATCAATATACTTGCCTTGCCTATTTAACTCCAGGTGACTCACACTGTAAAATGCTTGGTTCCACACAATAGATTTGTTTTGGGTAAACATGAAGAAATTTAGTTGACTTGTTACTTTTTTACAAATTTAAGTGGATTGAACATAAAACAATCTAGTTAAAAAACTTAATGACTGTGTGTATATTATACTTAGTATAGTATACTTATTGTATATACGTAGTTTGAACAAACATCAAACGTCATTTTCCGAGTATTTAAAATTTGCCTATTTTCAAAAAAAGTGTAGTGTTCCTTTAAAAAAATAAAGACATTAGACCTCAGCATTCTTTACCAATATTAGTGGAGTTCACTGTATCGTAAATCAGTGTTTCCCAACCCTGTTCCTGAAGGCACACCAACAGTACACATTTTCAACATCTTCCTATTCAAACACCATAGATATTTACATTAAACGTCACCTACGCTGTTGTTGTCTATTGAAAGGAATGCGTAAATAGAGCCGCCATATTAGTACAGGGTTGCACTCCTTTGAAATAAATGTGGGACCAACGTGTAGTGGAAGACTGGCCATTTGGAGCCATTGATATGTTAAATTTGATCTAATCCATGTCCTGAAACACACCCCCTGTCCCACTTCCACTTTTAATGCTAACGGGATAAGCGATTCGTTTGTGTGCATATCCACCATTCTGATCTAAATGGTATAAAATATTTGTAACATTCAATAATTTAGGGGGGACAGTATGCACACTGAGGCTATGCCTATGTTATCAGGCACCCTTATAACGTTAGGTTACTTCAAAAACTAGCTGTTACGTCACTTAGCCGATAATAATACAAGTTTCTGGCACCACAGCATCTTGTAGTTATTGTTTTTTTACATTGTTTGCTGATTTTATTCAACAAAACTAGCATAAGCCTAGAATTTAGTGCGAGTCTGGTGCTACTTTGCCTTATGGTCAGTCTAATAAGTGATTGTATTATCATCTATAACGCTACTTGTTAAGCACAAAAGTTTGTGACATACAAAAACGTAAAAAGCAAAATCTTACCTATAAATTGTTCTGCCTTTATGCTTTGTTTTCTTTGTTTGCTCATTACTACACACATACACAGCAACAATCCAGCATCTTCAGATTGGCTTTATTACTGACAAGTGCAGTTGAATGACTTTTGTCCTGGGAGCACTGTACAAATGTGGCCTTGGTATTGATGTATGCTCAGGGTCTGTATGTGATGTTTCTAGTGTATATATCTGTATTCAACCCCACCTGAATCAAATCATCAGAACAATAGAAGAGACTCAGAATCCTAAAATGAATGGTTCAGATAAGTCAGACATCCAAAATATGTACTGTTGGTGTGCCTCCAGGAACAGAGTTGGGAAACACTACTGTAAATGACCAAAAACAACTCAATATTAAACCACCTAAGCTCACCATTTTATCTCATGTACTATAAAAACAACATATTTGTTTGTTCTGTGTCCAGCGGTGACCTTTCTCTCTCTCTCTGTGAGCATGTGAATGGGGCTTCGCTTATGGGCCGAATTTATCAAGTCTCTTTTTCCATCTTTCACAATGCATACATTTGAGCTTAGGGGGAAAAGAAAATATGTGCAAACCCAGCCGGGGAGGAGAAGTGTGTATTATTGAGGAGGTAAATAAATAATTTATGGTGAAGTGTTAAGTGATGTTAGTGGGGCTGGTGAAAGAGAAGGACAGCAGGCGCTCGGAGCATTATACCAGGCTGCTCAAGGCTGTTTGCTTGAGTCCAAAGACTACCTAAAAGAAGCCCTTAAACACATGTGGTCACAAGAGGGAAAAGACATGGAATAAAATGAGAAGCTTAGACCGGTCAGTCTAAAGAGAGCATGTCTGACTGATATTTCTTATACCACTCGTGTAATGTATACTAAAATATGAATGCCATAAAAAAGACTTAGTTTTTTTCTCTTATGTAATATAAATAAATGCGATCAAATGTGCTGAAAATTTAATAATACTGACAAAGAAATAAATAAATGCAGGTTGACTATATACATTGTTTAAATTCCATTTAACAGTCATATATACACTCACCGGCCACTTTATTAGGTACACCTTCTATTACGATGCTTTTTGTACGACCCTCTTTTGCCTTAATCCTAATATTCCTCAGAGATTTTAGTCTACATTGACATGATAGCATCATGCAGTTGCTGCAGATTTGTCAGCTGCACATTTAGGGTGCAAATCTCCCGTTCCACCACATCCAAAAGGTGCACTATTGGATAGAGATCTGATCACTGTTGAGGCCATTTAGGTACAGTGAACTCATTGTCATGTTCAAGAAACCATTCTGAGATGATTCACGCTTTATGACACCGCACGTTATTCTGCTGGAAGTAGCCATCAGAAGATGGGTACACTGTGGTCATAAAGGGATGGACATGGTCAGCAACAATACTCAAGTAGGCTGTAGCGTTGACACGATGTTTAATTGGTGCTAATGGGCCCATAAGGTGCCAAGAAAATATCCCCCACACCATTACACCACCACCACCAGCCTGAACTGTTGATACAAGGCAGGATGGATTCATGCTTTCATGTTGTTGATGCCAAATTCTGACCCTGTCATCCGAATGTTGCAGAAGAAATTGAGACTCATCAGACCAGGCAATGTTTTTCCAATCTTCTATTGTTCAATTTTGTTGAGCCTGTGTGAATTGTAGCCTCAGTTTCCTGTTCTTAGATGACAGGAGTGGCACCCGGTGTGGTCTTCTGCTGCTGTAGCCCATCCGCCTCAAGGTTTGACGTGTTGTGTGTTCAGAGAAGCTCTTCTGCATATCTCAATTGTAATGAGTGGTTATTTGAGTTACTGTTGCCTTTGTATCAGCTCGAACCAGTCTGGCTATTCTCCTCTGACCTCTCCTCTGCCATCAATAAGGCAGTTGCACCCACAGAACTGCCGCTCACTGGATATTTTCTCTTTTTCGGACCCTTCTCTGTAAACCCTAGAGATGGTTGAGCGTAAAAATCCCAGTAGATCAGCAGTTTCTGAAATACTCAGACCAGCCCGTCTGGCACCAACAACCACGCCACGCTAAAAGTGACTTAAATCAGCTTTTTTCCCCATTCTGATGCTCGGCATGTCTACAATACTAAATGCATTGAGTTGCTACCATGTGATCGGCTGATAAGAAAATTGTATTAACAAGCAGTTATGTACCTAATAAACTGGCCAGTGAGTGTACTTTCTATTTGCTGACAATTAAGTAAGTGTTGGATTTTAGGCATTTATTTAAAGGAATAGTTCACCCAAAAATTTAAATGCACTCACTATTTTTTTACCCTCGAGTGGTGTCAAACCTTTATGAGTTCTTTCTTCTGTTAAACACAGAAGATATTCTGAAGAAAGCTAAAATCCTGCTGCCTTCCATAGTAAAAAAACAAACATACCATAAGAGTCAATGGTTACAGGTTTTCAACATTTTACAAAATATCTCCTTTTGTGTTTATCAGAAAAAAGAAACTCAAAGGCTTGAAACAAGTAAAGACAAAATTTTCATGTTTGGGTGAATTATCCCTTTAAGCTTTTCACATGACATGATATTCTAAGATTTGACTTAGCATAGTTCTTTATTATTGCAGTCTTTGCAACAGAGAGCTTTTGTTTCTGCTCTGATAAATGCAAAACTACAACAAAAGGGTTTTGCATCTGGCTAAAGAACATTTGCTTATTTTTTTTTACATCTTCAAACCAGTTGAAATCCCATCTGGCCAGTGCGCTTCAACAATATGTCCTGTAATGATTAAGAATGAGGTCAGTAGGCAGAGAAGCTGTTTGAATGCATTCAACCACATGAAAACAATCCAATGAACCTCATGGGCTTACGACTATCTTTTAATGTGACAAAAGTGGAAAAGCTCAAAAAGTTTCAAACACTGTTTACGCATGAATTTAGTTTCCTCCACTTCTGATTAGACCAATGAAAATGCATCTTTACCGCAAGACATTAAATACCGGTACCTATTAATAGTGCTTTTTATTTAGGTACCAGCATCTTTAGTAGTATTCACTAGATACCAGTTCTTATTTACTGGATACAAGTACTCATGAAATGTTGTTACTTATGAATTACTAGAATTTATTCTTTAGATATGTTTACTAATACTTTTGTTAGACACTAGTAGCTATTAAATAGATGCTATTAATTATTCATTCATCAATAGTACTTGCAGTATTTTACGTATGACTATATCTACTAACACTTTTCGAAATTTTGCCATTGACGTCTATGGAGATCTGTCATCGAGATTCAGTTTTCTATTGAGTTAAAATCAGTTGTTTGTTAAAGAAAATACCAATTTCTTTAAGATTTTTACCAAATGATGATGTTATTTGAAAGCAACAAAACAAACATGCTCATAACCCAACAGGACCTTGTACCATTATGATATCTCCGCTATGGATAGACACATCCCTTACTGCTGATTGGCTGCAAGTGTGTTTTGCGTATCAGTCTGACACTGTGGTCAAAACACATTTTTTAGAAATCCAACTACAAAAGATACTAGTACTCATTCATGAAATGTTTCCTACGAATTACTAGTATTTATTTGTTAAATACGTTTACTAATACCTTTGTTGGATACAAGTAGCTATTAAAGATTCAGTTTTTATTTAGTTTCCCATTCATGGGATGAAATCAGTTGCTTATTACAAAAAATACCCATATATTTATTTAAATTATATAAACATAACTTTTGTAAATGAAAAGCTAGGAAAAAGCATCAAAGGATGTGAAATCAGCTTTCATATAGTTTGTACGTTATCAAAACATACAATCTGCAACGTTTCACAATGTGATGGATTTTTATAGATCACATCACAAATATTCAAGTTGATGAATAGATAACAGTCCCTCCAGGATTTTGACCCCAAAAAATCCAAGATTCTTATGACTAAAATAAGGAGTGGCAAATTTTGTTTTTGTGGCTAAATTTGATGCATTTATTTGATTGTTTTACTTTAAAAATATAAACATATTTACACATTTTTTATCATATTTGATAAAATTTGTGAGTTGACAATGTTTGAAACCAATTGTTTAAAAATAAATGCTAAATCGTCTATGTTGTTTGTGCAATATTATGTGTGTGTGTGTGTGTGTGTGTGTGTAAGTGAGTCACAGTCAACAACTGAAGAGCCCACAAGACATACTGGAGGGCAATCCACACATCACCTCTGCCACTCACCAGGACTACACTTACCATCATCTTTTGCATCTAACACCCGATAACACTTCGCTGGACCAATGCACTGGTTACCACAGCACCTATTCACAATCATCTGCTCTATTTAAAGCACCCAGTCACTCCCTATCCTTCTAAAGTCTTGTTGTTTCTTGCATGAACACTTCTGAGTGTGTTTCTTGTTCCCTGTTCCTGCCTGGTTTGCTTGTTTTGTTTTGTACTGTCTTCTGAATTCCTCAACCTTTGCTAATTACCTTTGCTAGTTACCCCTGACATTGTAGTTTGCTCCTGTTATGACCTTTGCCTGCTTTGACTATACCGAATAAAATCTGCGTTCGAATCCGCTCCAGTTCATTTAACATATTTACAGTATAAAGACGTTTAAGCTCAAGTTAGCCTAGATCATACAGGCATTGAAGAGTGTGTTGACAAAATGAGGCTCTGCACAGTAGATGAGCACAAACTATTCAAAAGTAGTATAATGTTTTTTAATGTAAAACCGGGATTTTGAACAGTATCCTGACTGCCCAAAATATGTGGGACATCTGCAGAAATGTCAAAAATTTGTGAGCTCTTCAAAATTTTGCTACATTTGCTTGATTTTACGTTAAATTCAGAGATTACAGAATCAATAATAAATATATATATATAATATATACCTGGTGTCATGAAGATAGAGTTGTGAAGGCACCGGCACCGGCACTGATCCAATGATAGTGGTTTGAATCCCCGTCATGCCTGGATCCAGAACTGGAGCAGCCTGAGTCATGGCTGAGCCTGTCTGCATGCTCTCCAGGCCGGCCTGACTCACAGAGACACTGCCCTGAGTGAGCGGAGGGCTGCCGTGTGGAGCTCCAGGACTCTGGTCTACCAGTAGTGGGCTGGGCTGTGTGGTGGCTGGGCTGGGGTGAGGGGCTGGAGGGCTGGGATGTGCCATGGTAGGGCTCTGCTGGGTTGCTGGGCTGGACTGGGTCTGTGGGCTGTGCTTCTGGGCCACCATGGGACTCTGTTTTTCCGATGTTGGGGCCGAGTGAGCACCATTTACGTCTAGGGCAAAAAATAATTGAGTATAAGAAAAACAAGATTCTTTATGATACTATATTGTGATAAGGGATGCAGAGATGGATTAGACAGAAAAAGCATTTTAGAAACTGGATGTTGTTTTAATATAACTTGCAAACAAACCTTACTGGAATGATTTTTTTTATGGTATACAGTGTGTAAACGGAGTGTTAGCAGAGGTCAGAAATACAGAACAGATGTACAAACAAACAAAACCTTACTGTGCTGTACTGGCAGCTCAAATGTCACAGAGGAATGACCGAACACCCACAGAAATAAACAAGATACTGTGCGTGCATTTTAACAAATGTAAAAACAAATTGACCTTTGTTCATTTCATCGTCGCTCATTCCGTGATGTTGACAACATTAAATAAAAAAGACTGCATGAATAAGGCAGTTTTCTTTATAAGTCATGTACGTTTAAGCGATAGCTTGGAGTGTTGCGTTTCAAAAAGTGAAAACATTGAAGATGCAAGATGTGCAGCACCTGAAACTATGGACACTGGAAGCCTGTGCTGGCATTTCTCCTGCGGTGTTGCTATCAGTGTGTGAATAGTGGGAGTAGAGGATTGCATTGACAAACCAACACAATGGGCAGCACATTGAACACAAGTGGTCAGAAACTTGTAAATAACTCATGAAAGAATAAAGTTACATTAAAACTAAGCACACCATTGCTTTTCTTGTTTAATTCCCAATAAGTTTGATGTGTCACATGTCTTCCTGTTGAAAAAAACAAAAGTTGGATCCAAGTTGGCAGACTTCAAAATGGCCACCATGGTCACCTCCCATCTTGAAAAGTTTGCCACCTCACATATACTAATGTGCAACAAACAGGATGTTAATATCACCAACCATTCCCATTTTATATAGGTGTATCCATATTAATGGCCCACCCTGTAGAGAGAAGGTGATGTGATGCACAGTGCACAAGTGTTTAAAAAGAGCTGGCGGGCTCACATGCAGATCTGTTTATCCTCTCGTGGAAGAAATCTGCTGTGCATGAAAACAATTGGTACACTCAATCAGATTTATCATGGAATTTAAAAAAAAATGAAGCTCATTCACTCAGTCTTGCTGCTCTCAAGAGTTTGATGTGAAAACATTGACCGAACGTTCACACCGAAAGCGGCGAGAGCGTCAAAGTAGCCGGAAGTCATTCATTTTCAATGAGAGCCGGCGGCGATAAGCGGCGAGGAGCAGCGCGGCGAGGAGCAGCGCGGCGCGTCTTCGCCGGCGTGAGCGTCGAGGAGAGTTGAAATGAAGTCAACTTTATGGTAATGAGCTATGACGCGGTTCGGCGGCAAGCAATTAAAATGAAGATGTCCATCGCTTGATAGCAGTTCAGAGAACACAGACCAGTGAACTTTGGTTCCGACCACAGTTGTTCCCAAGGGTTTGATTATTGCGGTCGCCAGATTTCCAATTATTTAAATTTTTTTCCTACAGGAACATACATTAAATAAGTTACTGGCGAGTTACTGATGTTCATTAATGATATATAAATTTATCTTAAAAAAGCGGGAATCTCACGCGATGTGACAGTACAAAACAGTACTGCTGCTTCAGGATATTTCAGACATATGGACACATATTGGATAAATAGAGCAAAGCCACACCACACGCAACTTGATCTTCTATTGTTGTATGAATTTGATAAGAAGTGCGCAACATTTTCACGCTAGAAACATGTTTTAAGCAGGAATGTAACTGATATGCTGCAACGGCTCCTTTAAGTACGAGATCAATGTAGCGAGTTTTGACGCTCTCGCCGGAGGAGCTAAAGGCAGAGAGCGTTGTCGCCAGGGCGGCCAGAGCGACCTTGGACGCTCTCGCCGCTTTCGGTGTGAACGTACGGTTAGTCTTTTTGTAAACAGCAGTGGTAGCCGGGTTCTGTTTAACCAATAATTGAACAGATTATTAATAACCACTCAAAGAACATTTTACTGCACACATTCTGGGCTGCAAAAACACAGTGGACTTGAATGCGTCTTTAGGAAAGTGAAATGGTGTTATTCCTGCTTTTCTATAAGCACCACCTACTGGAAGATTGTAAGTTTCCTTTTTCTTCAGCCGGTTTAGTGTATTTGCTTTATATGGGTATTTTTGCTTGCTACTTTTTTAATGATAAAAAACAATATTGAAGTTATACAATCTATCTGACCAATTTGCTTTTTAAAAGGGCAATTGGCCATGAAAAAAAATGACCATACCTTCCTCTGGGATGATGTGCAGGGTGACAGTGAGTCCAGCGTCTTTGATCAGCTTGACAATGTCTGCGTGAGGCATGTTGATAATAGACTGACAGTTGACAGCCATAATACGGTCGCCAACCTTCAGCTTTCCACAGCGATCGGCCGGACTGCCCTCGATGATGCGGCCGATCTTATGTGGCACAGCTACAAAACACACACCAATGGAGAGTTTCATGAAACTGGGTAGAAAAAAACTTTACACATACTTTAGTTGGAAAAATATAGTGATACGTTCATTTTAATAAAATAAGAAATGATTGTGTAGTACAAAATGTACAAAATAAAGGGATTTATTTAATTTTCTAAAAAGCCTGCATTTAGTAAAACACAGATCTAAAACTCCCTCAAATTTAAATGATAAAGTGGCTGCCCCAAGTCCTGACCTAAAACTGATTGAAAATCTCTGAAAAATCCTTGAGAGACTAATAATATCCTCTGAAAAACTAGTGATGTCATTTGAGAGACCATTTTATCGTGCCATATGTCACAGGTTGAGCTGGGAGAAACCCCAGTACTATCTTAATTCTGTCCTATTTGGGGTAAAGCATTATTCGTAGAAGGGAAATCAGACATGGGTTTTAAGCTGCGGTTTCAGAAAGGCTTACGGAAGAGATCAGATCTTTATGAAGATAATATACTGATGACCTTAGATAAAGCTTCCAGCTTCCAGCCTCCATAGCTGAGACTGCAGCTTTGACTTTTGGCCAGCGGAGAAACTAAAATGGTTGCCCAACTGAGTCTGGGTTCTCTTTAAGGTTTTTTTTCTTCACTCTCCTATCGGTGAAGTTTTTTTTCCCTCTCCGCTTTCACCTCTGGCTTGCATGGTTCAGGATCGGTAGAGCTACGCATCGATGAATTTGCTATTCAGTGTTTGGACTCTCAGTAATGACTTTAAACCACACTGAACTGAGCTGAACTGAACTGAACTTAAACACTAAAAACTGAACTACCCTGATCCAGTTACTATGACCATTTATGTGAAGCTGCTTTGACACAATCTACATTGTAAAAGCGCTATACAAATAAAGCTGAATTGAATTGAATAAAAAATTCCTCAAATGCCTAATTTTTTAAAGAAACTTCAGATCCATAATTTTAAGTTCTAAAACTCATTCATACCAGTGCCCGACCCTAAGTAGTTTAGAAGAAATTGCAGTTAAAAATGCCAGTGCCAAATACAACATTTCTACGCTATATAGCAAATTCGTTAATGAATCTACAAATCATAAAAGATTGGCTTGGATTGATGACCTTTAGATGGATGTATGTATGGCTCTGTTGGGATGGGGTGGGTGTACTTTGATTGGTATTTGGTTTAAAATACAGTATGTACTATCATATATATATATATATATATATATATATATATATATATATATATATATATATATATATATATATATATATATACACACACACACACACACACACACACACACACACACATATATATACATACATATATATATATATACACATACATACACACACATTATATATATACATATTTACATTACACAAACACACACACACACACACACACACACACACACACACACACACACACACACACACACACACACACACACACACACACATATATATATTAAAGCATGGGTAGCATGGGTAGGGAACCTATGGCTCGGGAGCCACATGTGACTCTTTGACCAAAAATATGTGGCTTTACAACTGTCTCCCTTCAAAAAATTTATTGTTTCCTAATGACCTTTTTATTGTATATTTTTACAGCAAAATTAATAAGAATAAAAATAAAAGGACGCTTCAACGCGTTGTGCGGTGCTATGAATTAACTTGAAACGCGACAACAATAAAGGGGCATGCAACTTACATTTCTACGGTAACCTTGCACACGTAAATTCAAACAACATTAGTAAGTGATGGCGAAAAGAAAGAAAAATCTATAAATGATACCTTCTTAATACATGGACTTGCGCAACATGTGATGCTTCATATACAGTATATCACCAACGGTTCTTTAAAAAAATGCATTTGCCCAAAAAATCTAAAATGGCTCTTTGCTGTAAAAAGGTTCCCGACCCCTGTACTAAAGTATAAACTAAACAGATATTAAATAGGCCAGACAGGCTTCATTTACTATATGAAAAAAGATATAAACCAAAAGTTATCCTATATAAGCATCCTAAGATCCACCCAAATATTAATAAAGAACCTAGAGACTTCATCTCTGACTTTCAATAAATCTGTACCTCCAACAATATTGTGTGGAACAATAAAGAGCTTGTGTTCATAAAAGCCTGCATTATGAACGCTGACCGGATCATCAGACTGACAGCTGTGTAAAAGGACTCACTTATTGTGTTTGTGGTCTCTGGACGGTTGAGGGAGCTGATGATGACAAAGCCGAAGCCTTCACTTTCCTTACGGTGAATGACCACATCAGTGGTGGGCGGCAGGTTGACCGGACAGACAGCGTGACCTCGAGGAGAGCTGTTCTGATTGGCTGAACCACCGTTCTCCTCACACGGTTGACCTGCAGGTGGCAGCAAACACAATGTCAGTCAATACACACACAGACTAATAGAGAAAAGAGACACAGATATTACTGACTCGCATTCATGCTGATTTACATCATAATGTCAATCAACCATCAGATCTGAATGGTTTTCATTTGGAATAAAACGGTTTGCTTTTATGACTTATATAGTATGATGTAGTTAGAATATGGAGAAACCTTAAAAATAAGTAAAAATATGCAGTTTGTTGTAGATTTAGTTTAAATGGTCCAACTTTAAGTAGAAATAGTCATAGTTGAACAAAATATGATGAAATCAATTTAATAGAAACTGCCTCAAATGAATCTTATAATTGGGTCTAAAATATTATTTAGAAAATATTTGGTTTTAGTTCCCTTTTCAATATTTAATTGACTAATTTCCTTTTTTATTTTTTCTGCTCATAACAGTACTGCATAATTTTTTAATTTTTGTTATTCATTATGATGTAATTTGGTGGTAATGTCCTTAATTCTTTGGCAAACCCTATTTAACTGGTAGCCCAACTTTTTAGCTTTCACTGATTTTGCAAGATGAGCCATTCCTTGACCAAATAAAGGCCAATTTAAAAATAAAGCTCCTTTTAACCATAGCAAGAGCAATAGCTTGTTCCAAATGTCTAATTACAAGAATATTGCATCTCTATAGTGTCACCAACTCATTCAGGTTCAATGTTTGTCAGAAGCTCCTTTAACAACATGTGGTTCATAAAATAAGCCAGTATGTTTTCATGAGATCAGCGAGTTCCTGTCATACAACAAAACAAGTAAAGCAGTTCCTTCAAGCTGAAAACACTGAAATAATAAAGTGGCAGGCCAGAGCCCTGACCTAAACCTGATTGAAAATCTCTAAAAAATTAAGTCCTTTGAGCAACTAGTGATGCCATTTGAGAGACTACTGATGTGGCGTGTCAGACTAGTGATGTCATTTGAGAGACTAGGCGTGTGCTGTGGCTGCAGGTGTGCTGAAGTCATTCAAAGTGAGGGTCTGTTTAATTCCTACACATTTTTATCTGCAATAACCTTTAGAAATTTCCCCTGTAAAATTTCTTGGTGTAGTCATTGCTGTTCTCGAATTCTGATCACAGTGTTTTCCGCAAAATAGAGAGTTTTATTTAATTTTCTTAAAATTCCTCCATTTTGTAAAACACTGTTCTAAAACTCCATCAAATTTTTATTGATGAAGAGGCAGCCCCAAGTCCCGATCTAAACCTGATTAAAAAAATCTCTGAGAAATCCATAAGAGACAAATTGGGTCCTGTAAGAAAATAGTGATGCCATTTGAGAGACTAGTGATATCCAGTGAGAGACTATAGATGTGGTGTGAGAGATTAGGGATGTGCTGCAGCTGCAGGTGTGCTCACGTCATTTAAAGTAAGGGTCTGTTTACTTCCTACACATTTTTAACTGCTATAACCCTCAGAAATGTCAGTTGTAACATTTCTCGGTGCTACAAACAGTCATTGCTGTTCTCAAATTTTGATCACAAGAGATTACATTTTCTTGAAATGCCAGAATTTTGTAAAAGACTTTCATTAAAACACCTTAAATTTTTGTGAGATGAAGTGGCAACCCAAGGTCCTGATCTAAACCTGACTGAAAATCTCTGGAAAATCCTTGAGAGACTAGTCATGTCCTAGAGATGTGCAAGAGATGTAACTTTTACACATTTTAAGTGTCTTAAATTGTTGATCTTGACTGTATAATTTGTAATCCTGTGTGTTTGACGGTGGGCATACACTAAGGGAACAGTTCAAAACACAGTATACTGTAGAATTTGGCTTACTCTGCTGCGTCAGAACTCTCCTCCTGACCGTCAGGGTGACCTGTCCATTTCGAGCTGCCGCATGCATGAGGTCGATGACGTAGCGATGTGGTCGTCCCCCCACAGGCATCCTGTCAACCGAGACCAGCTCATCTCCGGGACGCAGCCTGCCGTCCCGCTCTGCCGGGCTATTCTCAATGATTGCTCCAATCACAATCTGTGGAGAGAAATCAGACATCACATTGATGTCATCTAACATTGATCCATTCATAATAATACTAATTGATACTACTGACAACGATTTACAAAGTTATCTTTACTAGCTAATGAGATTCTATTATCTTGACAGAAAGCGCTGGTGTTTATTTGTAAAAAGTAGATGAAAGTATCAGGGATTACCAAAAACAACTAGCTTAGAGGCGACTGTAAATAAACGTTTTTCACATTAAATGGTATCAAAATGCTAATGAGTCAAAGATGTTAGTGCAACCAATAAAAAATAATTTATAATGTAATTTTACATAGCAAACAAAATAATTGAAAAAGTATTTTAATTTTAAGGACAAAATTAGGCTAAAATGATCATCATTCAACATAACACATTTATTTATGTATTTTTATTTATGTACACATTTATTTATTTTATTCAAATAAATAAAACAATAACTGATTATTATACAAATGTTCATTTATTTTAAATTGTAAACATGTTGCTGTTCATCTTTAACTTATTTACCATGGTACAAAACAAGGTTAGTGTTATTGTTAATATTTATGAGGAATTAGCAGAAAAAAACAAACTTTAACTAAAACTATTAAAAATATAAACATTTCCAAAAATTATTTTATCTTTTTAACTTTTCAACTAACTTCAGTCTAAATATGTATTTAATTAATAAATAAATTAATGAATAAACAAACATTGATCTATTTACACAAAAAGTAGCTCTTTGACTGACACATAAAACACCCAATCACAGATTTGTGCCTCGTCACAGGCAGATGGAACAATCTCTACCCTGACATAAAAGAAGAAAAACTAAAATTGCAAACGACAAAAAAGGGGCAATTTAAGGAAAACGTAAGCTTCAATTTGGTGGGGAAATAGGGCTGGGCATTATAATGAAAATATCATGCTATGAGTTATAGTAATGAGAAATTGTAACTTCATATATTAGATTAAATTTCTTTTTAATTGTTTAATTGTTCAAAATGATCTATACTCTGAGATATATACTAACCAGCCACTTTATTAGGTACACCTGTCCAATGTTGATGCAAATTTCAAATCAGCCAATCACATGGCAGCAACTCAATGCATTTAGGCTAGACATGAAGAAGAGCATCTCTGAATGCACCACATGTCCAACCTTGTGGCAGATGGGTTACAGCAGCAGAAAATCACCCTGGGTGCCACTTCTTTCAGCTAAGAACAGGAAACTGAGGCTACAATTCCCCCAGGGTCACCAAAATTGGACAGTGATTTAACATATTCTAAAGATTGAAAAAACGTTGCCTGGTCTGATAAGTCTCGATTTCTGCATCAACATTCAGATGGCAGGGTCAGAATTTGGCATCAACAACATGAAAGCATGAATCCATCCTGCCTAGTATCAGGCTGGTGGTGGTGTAATGGAGTGGGGGATATTTTCTTTGCACATTTTGGGGCAATTAGTACCAATTGAGCATCGTGTCAACACCACAGCCTACCTGAGTATTGTTGCTGATCATGTCCATCCCTTTATGACCACAGTGTACCCATCTTCTGTTGGCTACTCCCAGCAGGGTAACGTGCTATGTCATAAAGCGTGATTCAACTTTCAATGAGTTCACTGTACTCAAATGTCCTCCACAGTCATCAGATCTCAATCCAATAGAGCACCTTTAAGATGTGGGACTATAAAATGCACATCATGGATGTGCAGCCGACAAATCTGCCGCAAATGTGTGAAGCTATCATGTCAATAAGGACCATAATCTCTGAGGAATATTTCCAGTACCTTGTTGGATCTATTCCACGAAGTTTTAGGGCAGTTCTGAGGGCAAAAGGGGGTCCAACTAGGTACTAAGAAGGTGTACCTAATAAAGTGGCCAGTGATTGTACAATCAATCGTGATGTAGTGTTACATATTTTTAAACAATTTATCAACTGCAATACTTAAAATACACATATTTTTGCTTTAAAAGCTTAATGGACAAAGTCTGTCATAAATCATAAAGTGTACATAAGTCTTTATGTATCTTTCTTTTCAACTCAATACTGTTATTCAGCAAAGATGCGTTGGATATATCAAAAGTTACAGCAAATAAATAAAATATATTGAAAAAAATGTTTCGTAATTTAGATTTGACTAAAGCGTGAACTGTATATAATCTTTTAATACACGACTATGATCACTATACTCATAAACAATCAAATTATAATGCTACATGCCCAAAGAAAGACAGACAGACAAAACAATACTGCTACTGTAACGTGCTGTAAGTAGCTGCATGGAACAGAAAAAGAGTGTGTCAGGTGTGTTTCCATCTGCTGCTCGTGGAGCTGTACAGATATGAACCAGTATCTGCTTATTCTGCCCCATACGAGCCTTGTCACGGGCCTCCGGACTCACAGCCTGCACCGCCTCGTCTCCACCCAGAATCCTGAAGCCGAAGCCGGTCTTCTCCCTCAGCAGGTGCACCTCCACCTCCTGATACTCCACACCTAAACAACCACAAACACAGTTCAGATATCACACACACAAACACACACAGCAGGAATGATTTAACACTGCTTTCTTTTTGGAAAAGAAAAAAGTTGAGTATTTTAATTACTAGTATATAACAATTCTATTGTAAAAAGTAAAAATTAAAATCTGAATGTACTGTCAGAATATAGAAATGCAATTAAAATATATACATCTGAATATATAATTTGTAAACATATAGAGTGCTTGGCATATACAAGTACACCCCACACAAATCTCCCATTTAAATGAATATGTTCTATAGAAAGTGTTACAATATTATAGTCAGAGAATATTAATGCAGACCTCTGAATATATAAACATATTTTTTACAATTATTTCCATAACATTACAAGACTACAAAAAGCAAACTTGACATATAATGACCTAAATATGGAAAATTCCAGATAACGTTTTCGGCAACCTTGTATTACAGTATTTATTTAGTAATCAGAATTGAATAAATTTTATTATTGAGAATGATTAAAATTAGGAAATTAATTGTTAATAATACAAAAAACTGTATTTTTAATTTAGGCATAGGGTTAGAAATTTGACTTTTCTAACCAAATACATTTTTTTATTAAAGACATATAACTATCTTCAGTTTGTTTCACAGTATTTCCTATATATTTTTTTCTTCTGGAGAAAGTCTTATTTGTTTTATTTTGACTAGAATAAAAGCACTTTAAATTAAAAAAAAAAAAACAAAAAAAAATTGCCCTCATAAGCCATATTTTTTTATACAGCAGTGGTTCTCAAAGTGGGGGTCGCAGGAGAATGAAGGGAGGAGGGGGGGGGGGGGTCGCCTGATGTTTTACAAAAATCTATTTATTTTGTTAAACCATAAGAAATACCATATTTTATCCATAAAAATAGTTGTTTATAGTTACTATATACTATATAGTTACTATAGTTCCTATTTCTATTGGATTGTGACCCCTGGGGTAATTACATTATATTAAAGACACAGCAATAGCGTCAGATGAAGCAGATTGATTTTATAATGCCAGGTTAAACTTTCTGGCACATTTACAGCACTGACATGCATTAAAAAAAAATTAAACAAAGATTAGACTTGGGTCTATTGGTGTATGTGCGCTATTGCATGCAAGGTTTCTGTATTTTTAACCACTTCAGAGGATATTGGGGGTCACAGGTCACTGGCATTGTCATTTTTTGGGGTCACAGGCTGAAAAGTTTGGTATCGTTATACAATAACTTGCCTAACTACCCTAACCTGCCTAGTTACCCTAAATAACCTAGTCTAGCCTTTAAATGTCACTTTAGGCTGTGTAGAAGTTTCTTGAAAAATATCTAGTTAAATATTATTTACTGTCATCATGGCAAAGATAAAATAAATCCATTATTAAAAATGAGCTATTAAAATTTATATTTACAAATGTGTTGAAAAAAATCTGCGCTCCGTAAAATAAATTGGGGGAAAAATTTAACAGAGGGGCTAATAATTCTGACTTCAAGTTTAGCAACCACCCACAACACCCTAGCAAGTGCATAACAAATGTCCAGCATCTAGCCAGAACACACTAGTAACCCCATACCAACTGCTTAGCATTTACCAGAACACCCTACATAGCCACCACAAAGCAACTACTTAGCATCTATCCAGAACAGTAACAGCTTAGCATCCATCTATAATATACTAGTAACCACATAGCATCTGCTTAGTATCTACCCAGAAGACCCTAGCAACCACATAGAAACTGCTTACCATCTAGCCAGAAGATCCTAGCAACCACATAGCAACCTTCTAGCACCTACCCAATAAGACCCTAGCAACCAGATACCATATAACCAGAACATCATAGCAACCACATAGCAATTCCCTAACATCTGCTCAGAACATCCAAGCAACAACATTGCAACGCTAAGCATCTACCCAGAAGACCCTAGCAACCACATAGCAACTACTTCGCCTCTACCCTGAACATCCTAGCAACTGACTACCTATCATGTACCAGGAACACCTTAGCACACCTTAACTGCAAAGCACTCGCTTAGCATTCACCCAGCAACCAAATAGCATCTACACAGAACACCTTAGCAACCACACCATCTACCCAGAACAAACGAACAACCACCTAGAATCTACCCAGAACACCCTTGCAACCACATTGCAACTTCCTAGCATCTAACCAGAACACCCCAGCAACCAGATAGCATCTACCCAGAACACCTTAGCAACCACAAAGCAACTGCCTACCATCTACCCAGAAGACCCTAGCAACCACATAGCAGCTGCTTAGCATCTACCTATAATGCTCTAAGAACAGCTTAAAAAACGCATGGCACCCAGCCTGGCATCTACCAGAAACACACCAGCAACCGCATAGCAACTGCTTAGCATCTACAGAGAACACCCTAGCAACCAGATAGCATCAACACAGAACACCCTAGCAACCACATGGCAACTACTTATCATGTACTCAGAACACTTCAGCAACTGACTGCTTATTGTGTACCCAGAACACCTTAGCAACTGCATAGCACCAACCTAGCATCTACCCAGAACACCCTAGCAACCACATAGCAATTCCTAGCATCTTCCCAGAACACCCTAGCAAACAGAAAGCATTAATCCAGAACACCTTAGCAACCACATAGTAACAGCTTAGCATCTACACAGAAAATTCTAGCAACCACATAGCAACTGCCTAGCATCTATCTAGAACACTCCTGTAACCACATAGCAACTGTTTAACATCTACCCTAGCAACCATATTGCAACTTCATTGCGTCTACCTAGAACACCGTAGCAACTGACTGCCTAGCTTTTACCCAAAGACCCACAGCAACCAGATAGCATCTACCCAGAACACCCTAGCAACCACATAGCAACTGCCTAGCATCTACCCAGAACATGCAAGCAACAACATTGCAACGCTAAGCATCTACCCAGAAGACCCTAGCAATTACATAGCAACTGCTTTGCCTCTACCCAGAACACCCTAGCAACCACATAGTAACTTCCTAGCATCTATTTTAAACACCACAGCAACCAGATAGCATCTACCCAGAACACCCTAGCAACCACATAGCAACTGCCTAGCATCTACCCAGAAGATCCTAGCAACCACTTACCATCTACCCGGAACACCTTAGCAACCACATAACAACTTCATAGCATCCACCCAAAAGATCCTAGCAACCAGATAGCATACGTACATACCCAGAATACCTTAGCAAGTACATTCCAACTGCATAACATCTACCTAGAACACCCGAGCAACAGCCTGCCTACAGTACCAGGAATACCCAAGCAACCACATAGCCCCAGCCTAGCATCTACCCACAACACCCTAGCAACCACATAGCAACTTCCTAGCATCTATCCAGAACTCCATAGCAACTTCCCAGCATCTACCTTGAACACCACAGCAACTAGAAAGAATCTACCCAGAAGACCCTAGCAACCACATAGCAACTGCCTAGCATCTACCCAAAAGACCCTAGCAACCACATAGCAACTGCTTACCATCTACTCAGAAGACCCAAGCAACCACATAGCAACTGCTTACCATCTACTCAGAGGACCCTAGCAACCACATAGCAACTTCATATCATCTACCCAGAAAATTCCAGCAACCAGATAGCATTAGTATATACCCAGAATACCTTGGCAACCACATTACAGCTGCGTAACATCTACCCAGAACATCCTAGCAACAGCATAGTGACACACTGACGCCACACTGGTCTTTGTGATCTGCTCATGTTAGCAGGAGCTCTTGAGGAACATCGGATCTCCATAAGCTGAGTTATGTAGGTCAGCTCACACACCGGCGTGCTCAACCTCCTGATGTAGTGGAGAATAAGAGTACAGTGCAGACACAGATCTAAATATAGAGCACTAAAGCCACGCGGGTTACATAAATTAGCCATACAGAAGTGACTGAGAGCGTGTGTTTGTGACATGTAGAGGAAAAGAAGACTTGCCTGTAGAGTCTGTCAGCGTCCGAGGAGGAAGCGGCTCTGTGCGGGTGACAAATGACACATTCAGACACTGACATTATTCATAAATACTTTGGACTGGATTTGTGCTTTATTTAGGCTCACGTGTGGAAGGAACAATCTCAAGGAAGCTGTTGTGAATTTTAAAGGCGATTTCACCATAAAGTGAAAAGAAATGAAAAGGAAATTATTATTGGGCTGAAGAAAACTACAACTATTACTATTATAATTATTATTATTATTTGGTGATGATAGTAGTGAAGCGTGGTAGTGATGTTTCACTTGTATTGACATTATTAATAATGTTAAAAACATATTTTTAAAATAGAAAAGTAGACAGCAATGATAGATAATTCAGCAATGATTCGATATTAATTTTTAAATATAATATATAGAGCTAATTCGTTTTTATTTTTGTGATTTTTGTCATGGATATTTTATATTGGAAATTTTATTTTAATTTATATTCGTCCCAATTCAGTAATAATTTACTGTGATATATATATATATATATATATATATATATATATATATATATATATATATATACATACATATAGGACGTCAATGTGACTAAACTTTTTCTCTTATAGGTAAGTTAGGATTATCAAATTTGTTTCTGTTATGCTTAATAGCAGAATAATGAGAGAGATATTTTTTTGAGAAATTGTTATGACTTTTCTTCAAATTCAAGTTTACATACAACAAGATTATTCTGCCTCTGAAAAAGCTCAGATGATGCTGTCAAGGTTTTGGAAGTTTCTGATTGGCTAATTGACAACATTTAAGTTAATTGGAGGCACAACTGTATAACAGTATTACAGAAAAAACCTCAAACATCCTTTTGTGACAACATGGGAAAATCAACAACAACAAAAAAAGGCAGATTACAGTTTGGTAAACTACACTGGAAAAAATAATAATTTTTGAAGACATGTCCTGTGGTCTGATGGACTAAGATTGAATTGTTTGGCCACAATGACCAGTGTTACATTTGGAGGACAAAGGGGACTGCTTACAAGCCTAGGAACACCATCCCAATAGTGAAGTATGGGGATTTCAGCATCATGTTGTGGGGCTGTTTTGCTGCAAAAGGGACTGGCTCACTTCACACGATAGATGGCATCATGACGAAAGAACGTTATGTAGAAAAACTGAAGCAACATCTCAAGACATCAGTCAGGAAATTAAAACTTGGCCACAAATGGGTTTTCCAAACAAACCATGACCCTAAGCATACAGCCAAATTAGTTAAAATGTGCTTTAAGGACAACAAAGTGAATGTTTTGGAGAGGCCATCAAAAAGCCCTGATCTCAATCCTATGGAAAATTTGTGGGCATAGTTAAAAAGGCTTGTGTGAGCAAGACTGAAAAAATTCTTTCAAACTATTGTGAGAAGCTTGTGGAAGGATACCCAAAATAGTTGACTAAAGTTATACAGTTCAAAAGAAAGCTAAAAAAAACAAAAAAAAACAAGGAAATGTATGTAAACTTTTGACTTTCTAGAAATTAATAAAAATTCTCAAACAAATTCTCTCATTATTCCGGCATTTAGCAAATGTAAATGATTTAGGTAATCCTACTGGACCTAAAATAGTAAACGTTTAGTATGATTTACCATCAGACGTTTAAAAAAAAAAGGTTATGTTCCTTTTTTAGAGTGTATGTAAACTTCTGGTTTCAACTGTATACATACACACAGTTGAAGTCAGAATTATTAGCCCCCCGAATTGTTTATATTTCCCCCTTTTTTGGTTAACCGAGAGAAGGTTTTTTTTTTTTTCAACACATTTCAGTTTCAGTAACTCGTTTCTAATAACTGATTTATTTTATCTTTGCCATGATGACAGTAAATATCACTAGATATTTTTCAAGACACTTCTATACAGCTTAACGTATCATTCAAAAGCTTAACTAGGTAATTAGGTTAAATAGGCAGGCTAGGGTAATTAGGCAAGTTATTGTATAATGATGGCTTGTTTTGTAGACTATCGAAAAAAATAGCTTAAAGGGGCTAAACATTTTGACCTTAAAATTTTTTATTAAAAAATTAAAAACTGCTTTTATTCTAGCTGAAATAAAACAAATGACACTTTCTCCAAAATAAAAAATATTATCAGACATACTGTGAAAATTTCCTTGCTGTTAAACATCGTTTAGGAAATATTTAAAAAAGCAAAAAAAAATTCAAAGGGGGTTTAATAATTCTGACCTCAACTGTGTGTGTGTGTGTGTGTGTGTGTGTGTGTGTGTGTGTGTGTGTGTGTGTGTGTGTGTGTGTGTGTTTATATATATATAAACGTATAAACCTAAGAAATGTATATCTGCAAAACAAATCTAATTAGTTTACAAATTAAGTTATGTGTAATAAAATTAAATGACTCAGTGACAAAGTATTGAAAACTGAAGATGAGGAGGTGTAGAAAGGCAGTGAAAGCCCAGATAGCAGCTGAGGTGAAATCTCTCAGTAGTTCTTCAGCAACCCTCTGCCCTTCCTCAGTGTAAACAAATATTCGCTGCTTCAGTACAACATCTACATTAGCAGGATGATGAAGATCAAACCAGAGTGGGCATTTCAGCGAGACAATGATCCAAAACACAGCCAGGGAAACTCTCAAATAGTTTCTAAAAAGTTTTGACTATTTTTATAGGCTTTTTTGGTGATGGCAGTTTAAAGACGGCTCTCATATGGAGAATGAAGTCACATGAAATGCTCAGGTGTGAGTTTTTCACAGACTTCAACAGAGTGTAAAAATCTTGATGGTTTTGTGGGTCTCTATCCCAATTGATCTTTATTTTGTATTCTCTATTGGATTCTAGTCAGGTGATTGGCTGAGCCATTCTATAGCTTGATTTTCTTTGAAAGCATTTGGGAGTTTTCTTGGCTGTGTTTTGGATCATTGTCTTGCTGAAATGTCCACTCTGGTTTGATCTTCATCATCCTGATTATGTAGATGTTGGACTGAAGCGGCGAATATTATTGTACAATGACGAAGGGCAGAGGAATGCTGAAGAACTACTGAGAGATTTCAGCTGCTTTCTGGGCTTTCACTGCCTTACTACACCTTCCTTTCCTCGTGTTCAATACTTTTTTTTCCTGTGTCATTTAATTTTATTACATATAACTTAGTTGTAAATTAATTAATATTGTTTTCTGTTCATACAGTATATCTATTTATTTGGTTATCAACATCTGGTGAAAATTTTAAGTCATTAGCACCTTTAGAAATATGCTTTTTTATGTTTACTGTTGACAACTTGAATACTTATGTATATTATAATATACATGTATAATAACTAAAAGGATTGTCTTTAAATAAAATCAGTTCATGCAGTAATGAAACACTCCTTATTATATTAAATATATTAATATAAAACATTATTAAATAATAAAACCAGTACACATTCACACATTTTTTATTATAAGTAATATAGCCATTATTCTATATTTTCAGTGTTTTCATGACTTTGGGAACCCACTTATATTTATATTATATTATATAGACTAAATAATAATTTTATACCAGTACCAGTAATTCGAATTTGCTAATAAAAATAGTAATTATATTATATTATATTATATTATATTAGTAAACTAAGAATTGAAACAATTTTATTTTTAGAAATCGCTCACCAAAAACTCTGACTTACGTCTGCTTTCATATATAGCCCGTGACTTCTCATAGAGGTCATAGGGGTCCGGCTTGCCTAAGTGGAAAGCCTCTGAATCTGGAACAGAGGAGCGATGAAGCGTCTGTGCAGGATGTGGAGCACCATGAGGAAGCAAAGTAGCCGATAAACCAGTCTGAGGACTTCCTTGAGGATCCCACTGCAATAAAAAATAGACCAGTTTGAGCAGACACATACAATTGCTAAGAAAAATAAATTAATCAAATCTTTCTATGTTTAAGCCCTATAATTGTAATTGTATAATTGTCCAGTGCATTAGCAAAGGTGAAAAAGAACAGCCCGGTATCTTTTTTTTGTTAAGATTTTCCCTGCAAGCATGTGAAAAAATACACTCTTCATATTTTGCTCCCCTAGTGATGTAGAAAGAGGATCTTATTATAATTTTACTTTTACTTATTTACCAAAAATAGTGTTTTCAAAATCAAGCGTAAGAGAAAAGTGCACTGGTGACCAGTGTTGGGTAATAACGTGTTCTTAGTAATGCGTTACTGTAACGGCATTACTTTTGACAGTAACTAATACTGTAATGTATTACTTTTTAAATATACTAACTCTGTTATCATTACGATATGATGTGTTTGTCTGTTACTTGGTAAGTTCATTCATTTTGACTGCAGTCTAGGCTACATTTTCCTGTTTACAGCTGCGAGGCATTGTGGTATTGGTGGATGCCAACTAACCACTGTAAAGAAGACGCGTCGCGAAAGAGGCACCAGACTGGACGAGAGAAACTGGGAGCGCAAGAGAGGCTAAGGGCATACTCACAATATGTACAGTTACCTTGAACTGGGCCAAAGCACGCTTGTACCCCCTCCCGTCTCCCCCGAAGATATGCAATGACACAGTCAAATATTTTGCTGAACAGATCAGCCACTTTTGATGCTCATAAACAATCATAAAGTCCTCATGCTGCAGGAATTATGAGGTTTGCTGAAGGTGCAGCTGTCGTACAGTGAGGAGTTTGCATATTTACTAAACTACGACAGTTTGCGTTCATTAAACAGTAAGAATGATTAAGAAATCCATATAAAACAGTGCCTTAAAAGTCACGTCTCGCTTTCAGTTTCGGGCTCAGGTATGTTTTGCACTCACACACAAGCATACCACGCCAAAGCCAAAGTGAACTGCGGACCAGGACCAGGGCCAGCCTAATGAACCGTGCCTGAGCCCGATTCAAAGCATTCACACTTCTCAAACGACCCTGGAAACAGGCCTGGGTTCGGATAGCATAGTGTGAGTACTCCCTAAGTGTATTAGCGAGAGAGAAAGTGCACAAGAGAGACAGAAAGACAATTAACGTTACTATGATTAATTACTATTACTAATAATATTATGTTTGTAGTTTCAAATAAATAATCACACATTTGTTGTCTGTATAACAAAATTGATTGGTTTAGTAGACACAGACACACATTTCTGTAATATTTAAGAACACGTTATGTAAATGTATAGCGTTGTATTGCGAAAGAAAAATGCAGTGATTTATTTTTTATTGTAAAACATATTTTTATAGCTGTTATATTGTACAACAGCAGATTTTGCACTTTGAATATACACAGCTTACTTTCCATTAGCTGTTGACACGCCACATTTAATTTGTGGTTAGTTTGAAAACTGCTCATCGATTTCATTTTTGAGCAGCTGTTATTATTATTATTTTTATTAAAATGCATAAAATGTATGGTTGTCTATAATAGCAGTTTATTTGGTGCTGAGTTTCATCAAAATGATTCTGAATGATCATTCAGATTATTTTTATTTATTTATTTCACAAGGATTTTGTGTTTGTTGTATATTGTCGCTATTTTCTTACTCAAGAACATGTTTAAGGGTTAATTACAACAACTTTTATGACGTTGAAATAACTTTAGTTTTTTTTGTGTGAATATATTATTCAGCTGGTTCACAACCTTGTGATATTATTTTATTTTTGTGCTGCTGGTTTGACTTAAATTAATTACAGTTTAAAAATGACTTTTTCGGTTAAGTCTTTCTTGTGTTTTAGCTGTGAGAATGCAAATGAATTAAAACTGTGAAGTTGATCAACAGTGTATTTTCCATGCAGCACTGAAGTGACATTATAACGGCATTAATGCGAGCATTAAAAATGACTTTTAACAGATAACACATTACATTTTGGTTTAAGTAATCGATAAAGTAATTTAGTTACTTTTTGAATGAAGTAATTAGTAACTGTAACTAGTTACTATTTTTCAATAACCAGCACAACACTAATGGTGACAGTTTTCTTCTGGTTTTACATTGCTTTTATCTTATTTGTGGAACCATGCTTCGTCATACTTGAACCAAACGGCTCTGTGTTGCAAGTATTACACTGTACAAAGTGAGTAACTGAACCAACTGATTACATCAGAAAAGTTGTCCGAAGTGAAATAGATAGGCGATGTGACCATATTTGATTAAAAGTCAGATAATAATCAAAAGACACAAAATAGTTGCAAATAGAATCTTTAAGCTTGTCACGTTCAACAAAAATAAGAGTCAAAATAGGATCCAAATGCAAGTGAAAAAGGTTTATTTGACCAAGTCAAAATAAACAAACAGGGAAGTGACAGGCTAGGAGGACGACGAACACAGGGCAGGAACAGACAGGAAAAACAGGGTCCAGAAATATCTCCTCAGGGGCCTGAGCACAGATAACACACATGAGAACAGAAGTAACGAACTGACAATGAGACATAGAAACGTCGCCCTGATATAGGGCTAATAATGAGCCTCAGCTGGTGAGTAATCAGCCCCGCTGATAGTCGTCATGTCACGTGAGCATAACAAATACACATGGACAACCAAAACAAAACAAACCCACGTGATCAAACATACACTCCGGAAAAGCGCACAAACCTGCAACCGTGACATTACCCCTCTCCTAAGAGCACCTCCTGGTGCTCCCAGAAGAGCTTACCTGGCGATTGTAATCATCAATAAGAGAGTGATCCAGTATGTCCTTTGCAGGAACCCAACTCCTCTCCTCCGCACCATAACCTTCCCAGTCCACCAAGTACTGAAATCCTCGCCCCCTCCGTCTCGAGTCCAGAATACGCTTAACCGAATAAACGGTCTCCCCATCTACGAGACGCGGCGGGGGGGGAACCGGTGTGGGCGGGTTAATTGCCGTATGAAAAACGGGCTTTAATTTGGAAACATGAAACACGGGATGTATTCTCCTGTACGCTGGAGGAAGTTTAAGGCGGACTGCCACCGGACTAATGATCTTGATGACAGTGAATGGGCCAATGAATTTAGGTGCAAGTTTATTACATACGGAACGCAATGGAATATTCTTAGTAGAAAGCCACACTTTTTGACCGACGACGTAAACGGGAGGCTTCGACCGGTGGCGATCGGCTTTAGCCTTAGTGCGCGCACCCACTTGGAGGAGGGTCTGTCTGGCCCTGCTCCAAGTGCGTCGACACCTCTGGACAAAGGCGTGGGCGGAGGGGACCGCGATTTCGGATTCCAGACTGGGAAAAGCTGGTGGCTGGTAACCTAGACTACACTGAAACGGAGAGAGGCCCGTAGCCGACACTGGTAATGAATTGTGTGCGTACTCCACCCATGGGAGCTGCTGACTCCAAGAGGAGGGATTTTGGGAAACCAAACAACGTAACATGCGCTCGAGATCTTGATTGGCCCTCTCTGTTTGTCCGTTACTCTGAGGATGAAAACCAGAAGAAAGACTTACAGTCGCTCCCAATAAATGACAAAATTCTCTCCAAAATTTAGAGACAAACTGGGGCCCCCTGTCAGAAACCACGTCCGTCGGGAGGCCATGAATGCGAAAGACGTGATTAATGACAGCATCCGCTGTCTCTCTGGCTGAGGGTAATTTGGGCAGAGGAATGAAATGAGTAGCCTTCGAGAACCGGTCCACTACGGTCAAAACAGCCGTATTGCCACTGGATGGCGGGAGACCAGTGACAAAATCTAGCGAAATGTGCGACCAGGGTCTCGAAGGCACTGACAGCGGCTGAAGGAGTCCAGCAGGAGGGCGATTAGAAGTCTTAGAAACAGCACAAACAGAACAGGCCAAAACAAACTCGCGTATGTCCCGTGCCATAGCTGGCCACCAAAATCGCTGTTTAACCAAAAATAAAGTACGACTCACCCCCGGATGACAAGCCACTTTGGAGGAATGTCCCCACCGAATGACGTCAGACCGAATCTCCTCCGGCACAAACAAACGACTGGGTGGGCATCCGGCCGGGGGCGTTACCCCATCCAGGGCTGTGCGGACCCTGCTCTCGATCTCCCATGTCACCGCAGAAATACAAATGCTCTGGGGAACGATGGGCTCAGGAGACGGATTGCGCTCGGAAGAATCAAAAAGACGGGATAACGCGTCAGGTTTGGTGTTTTTGGAACCCGGCCGATAAGAAATGGTAAAGTCAAAACGTCCGAAGAATAATGCCCACCGAGCCTGCCTGGAGTTAAGTCGTTTGGCAGACCTGATGTATTCAAGGTTCTTATGATCGGTCCAAACGATAAAGGGAACCCCCGAACCCTCCAACCAGTGACGCCATTCCTCCAATGCGAGTTTGACAGCCAACAACTCCCGATTACCAATGTCGTAATTACGTTCTGCGGGAGATAATCGATGTGAGAAAAACGCGCACGGATGAATTCTGTCATCCGAGGCGGCGCGCTGGGACAGGATAGCGCCCACCCCCACCTCTGACGCGTCAACCTCCACCACAAACTGCCGGGCTGGATCAGGTGTCACCAGAATGGGGGCTGAAACAAAACAGCCTTTCAGTTTAGTGAATGCAGCCTGTGCTACACTCGACCACCTGAAGGGAGTCTTGGCGGAGGTTAAGGACGTCAGAGGAGCGGCGAGCTGGCTGAAATTGCGAATAAATCGCCGGTAAAAATTAGCGAAGCCCAGAAATCTCTGCAGGGCCTTACGAGACTCCGGAATTGGCCAATTTACCACAGCCTGAACCTTCTCTGGATCCATGCGCACCCCCTCGACTGACACAATGTGTCCTAAAAAGGGAACAGACTGTGCATGGAACACGCATTTCTCCGCCTTGACAAAAAGCCCATTCTCTAGCAGCCGCTGAAGCACTCGCCTGACGTGCTGCACATGTTCCTGGAGAGAACGAGAAAAAATCAGAATGT